TGCTCTTTGCTCTCTCCTATTTTCTCACCACAGGACATTGTAGTAGCAACTTTTCACCTTTTGCTATAGCTTTTCACTTGTCCTTGTTCGGAGGTTGTTAAGGTTGTTCAGAGGTGGTGTGGAGTCCCTGGCTTGCAGCAGCTTGTGGCTGGATGTTGTGGATCCCTCTGTACTCCCCCCAAGGGGGTCTCACTGTGGGGCTGACGGCCGCGGGACAAGGGGCCTCCTGATGCAGGGCAGCAGGGGGTGCGTGGGGCTCAGCCTACCTCTGTCTTGGCAGGGAGGACCTGGGCAAGATGACTTACAGCACCATGTGCATCAAGGAGAGCCTTCGCCTTTATCCACCAGTGCCTGGTGTGTCCCGGCAGCTCAGCAAACCCATCACCTTCCCCGATGGTCGCAGCTTGCCAGAAGGTCTGTAAATCCCATTCCTGCTTCACAGAACTGTGCTCTTGGACATCAGCCGTGTCCTTGCCGCCTGCTGCAGAGCAAAGGTGACAGCCCTGTCTCTGTGACCTGCTCCTCACTGCACAGATGTTCACATAGGGCTGTGCAGATGTTGGCATCTCATTGACAGACTGGGCTGTACAGCAACATCCCTGTGGCATCTTTCCTGCCATTATCACTATAAGGCAGCTGTGCCTATGCCAAAAGCCCCTTCTCTTTCTGACCAAGCACAAGGTCATAGCTTACTCATTTTGGTGAGGGAGGGACAGAGACTGATTCCATCCCAGTTTGTGGTGTGGGAGTTGTCTTGTGCTGCTCTTTACCTGCTCTGATCTGGTATACAAGTGGGCAGTTTTGGTGGAGGGATGATGTGCCTACAGTCCCAGTGCCTTCCTCATTTCCACTACTTGGCTACTTACAACTAAATAAATGGAAAACATTTAGTTTTCTCTGAAGCCAGTGACAAAACCCTCATAGGTTTCCAGCTGGCAGATAAGACCACAATGATTTAGACAGACCATTGTGTGAGCATGCTGCAACCTTCCCTTTAGTTTCTTTGTCACTGAGCCCTTTTCTCCTCCTCAATTGCTTTACAGGCAGCATCGCCGCAATAAGCATTTATCTCATGCACAGAAACCCTGCATTCTGGAAAGACCCTTTGGTGAGTTTTCTTTTCCCTTCCTAATAACTTTTCCTCTTTATGCTGTGCCTCTTCCAGTGTCCCCTTCACCTGTTAGCAGGAGAGCAGAGCCCCCTTGCTCCCAAACATCTTTGCCCACAGGAATCATGCTGAGAAGTGGCTGTCTTGTGTTAGTCTCGACCAACTGCAGCACAGGCTGGTCAGACAGCAGCATTAGGGATGGGTGCTGCCCAAACAGTACAACAAAGTGCTCCAAAGAGCTTGTTGTAGTAACAAGCAAAAAGATGTTTTTTTTGCTCAGCCTAAAGGTGGAGGATTGAAACCTGGCTCCCCGTTTTCACCATATCCATGTCTGGTTTATGTTGGCAGCACCATTACCAGGCTCAGTGGAAAGCAAAGAAGTCTGATGTGTGAGCTTCAGTCCATCTCAAAATGAATCCTCTTTCCAATGGGGCTGTTCAGAAATGATGGGGCGTCACGTGTCTGAAGATTCCAGTCAGTGCTTTGTTTCTTAAATAATCACTTTTTTTTTGCTGCATATTCCTCATTTCCAGGTGTTTGACCCGTTGCGGTTTTCCCCGGAGAATGTCTCTGGCAGGCACTCTCATGCCTTTCTGCCTTTTTCTGCTGGAATGAGGTAAAGTGTACTGAATGCTGAAGGAGTAGGGGGGGGGGAGAAAGCATGCATCCCTAGAGACTGCTCAGCCTGAGATGTCTGTGCTGCTGCTATAACTGCTATGGGGAAGCACTCACAGAATGCTCTCAGAGCCCACCTCCTGAAGTCCTGGCCCCGCAGCGTTGAACAGTTCACAAGCATATAACAAGCGTTTGTGCCATAGAAGGGTTCTGATACCAGCAGACGAAATGGGAAGGCAACATTGCCAGGCCCCTCATGGGGACAGGGAGCCAGGTCCCAAAGCTGCCGAGCACCTTGCTGGCATCATACAGGAAGCCTGCAACATCCTGGGCTTACCTGCTCTCCTCCTCTCCTTGATGCAGAGACCCTATCCCACCTCCCTGCCCTTTGATTCTCCCAAAGAGCTCAGCCCATGCCCTTGCTTTTGCTACCCAAAACACTGTCTGGAGCCCCCAGAGCTGCAGAGGGGAAGGGCTGTATTCTGGTGTGAGAGATCTGGGATCTGGGAATATCTGAGCTGCTCTGTTTTACCCCAGGAACTGCATCGGGCAGCAGTTTGCCATGAACGAGATGAAGGTGGCACTGGCCCTGACCCTGCTCCGCTTTCAGCTCTCTCCTGATCCAGACAAGCCTCCCTACAAAATACCTCAGATCATTCTTCGCTCCAAGAACGGGATTCACCTGTATCTGAAGAAAACCTGCTGATGCTGGAAAACATCCTGCCTCTGGTGGAGGGAGGGACAACGTTTCTCTGGGGCAAAAGGTGCAGGGCAGGATTTGGGGATGAAGATTTCTGATTTCTGTGCCTCTTCTACCAGCTGAAAACCCTTTTCAGCCTGGGCCCATCTAGCCTGGATGGGCTTGCACAGACCCATTGCCATCGGCTCTGTGAGCACCAATCTCAGTGCAGCCGTGCATGGCTGTCCCTTTGCCCTGCTGTAAGGGAAGGTCCCACCAGCTTCCTCCTTACCAAATCCCGCCTTTGCACTCATGTCCTGGCTGAATCCATAACTGTTCCCAGCCCTGCACCATTGTCAGCACCTTCCTCAGTGCCTAGGGGTCAGGCCTCCTCTCCTGCAGCAGGGACAGCCTATGGCAGACCTCTGTCTCTTTTCACACTCAATCTGACTGTTTTGTTGAAAACACTGGTGCGAGTTTGGGCTCAGAAATTCTGACCAAACTGCAAAATACTCTGTAATTTTTGTGTTAATAAACCAATAATTATTCCTGTAACAGCAGCTGCCTCTGTTTTTGTTGCTGACATTTGCTCACTTCATCACAAACAGCGTAAAACCCCTTTAGATCCTGGAGATTGAGAGGAAACCCATGAGGGGCAAGAGGCAACCCTGGGGGTGTCTGGCCAGGCCCCTGCCCATGGGTCTCCAGTTGCAGCCAACACAGCATCTCTTTCCATAGAATCATAGAATAGTTAGGGTTGGAAAGGACCTTAAGATCATCTAGTTCCAACCCCCTTGCCATGGCCAGGGACACCTCACACTAAACCATGCCGCCCAAAGCTTCTTCCAACCTGGCCTTGAACACTGCCAGGGATGGAGCATTCACAATCTCCCTGGGCAACCCATTCCAGTGCCTCACCACCCTTATAGTAAAGAACTTCCTTCTTATATCCAATCTAAACTTCCCCTGTTTAAGTTTTAACCTGTTACCCCTTGTCCTGTCACTACAGTCCCTAATGAAGAGTCCCTCCCCAGCATCCCTATAGGCCCCCTTCAGATACTGGAAGGCTGCTATGAGGTCTCCACGCAGCCTTCTCTTCTCCAGGCTGAACAGCCCCAACTTCCTCAGCCTGTCTTCATACGGGAGGTGCTCCAGTCTCCTGATCATCCTCATGGCCTCCTCTGGACTTGTTCCAACAGTTCCATGTCCTTTTTATGTTGAGGACACCAGAACTGCACACAATGCTCCAGGTGAGGTCTCACAAGAGCAGAGTAGAGGGGCAGGATCACCTCCTTCGACCTGCTGGTCACGCTCCTTTTGATGCAGCCCAGGATACGGTTGGCTTTCTTGGCTGCAAGCGCACACTGCGAGCTCAAGTTCATTTTCTCATCAACCAACACCCCCAAGTCCTTCTCTGCAGGGCTGCTCTGAATCTCTTCTCTGCCCAACCTGTAGCTGTGCCTGTGATTGCTCCAACCCAGGTGTAGGACCTTGCACTTGGCAATGTTAAACCTCATGAGGTTGGCATCAGCCCACCTCACAAGCGTGTCAAGGTCCCTCTGGATGGCATTCCTTCCCTCCAGCATATCAACCGAACCACACAGCTTGGTGTCATCGGCAAACTTGCTGAGGGCGCACTCAATCCCACTGTCCATGTCAGTGACAAAGATGTTGAACAAGACCGGTCCCAACACCGATCCCTGAGGGACACCACTCGTTACTGGTCTCCAGACAGACATTGAGCCACTGACCACAACTCTTTGTGTGCAGCCATCCAGCCAGTTCTTTATCCACCGAGTGGTCCATCCATCAAATTGATGTCTCTCCAATTTAGAGACAAGGATGTTGTGTAGGACAGGGTCGAGCGCTTTGCACAAGTCCAGGTAGATGACAGCAACTGCTCTACCCCTGTCCATCAGTTCTGTAGCCCCATCATAGAAGGCCACCAAATTGGTCAGGCAGGATTTCCCCTTAGTGAAGCCATGCTGGCTGTCACCAAGCACCTTGTTGATTTTCATGTGCCTTAGCATGCCTTCCAGGAGAACCTGCTCCAAGATTTTGCCAGGCACAGAGGTGAGACTGACTGCTCTGTAATTTCCCAGGTCATCCATTTTCTTCTTCTTGAAAATGGGGGTTATATTTCCCTTTTTCCAGTCATCGGGAACTTCACCTGACTGCCATGATCTATCAAATGTGATGGCCAGTGGCTTAGCAACTTCATTCACCAGCTCCTTCAGGACCTGTGGATGAATTTCATCAGGTCCCATGGACTTGTGCACTTTTAGGTTTTTAAGATGGTCTCGAACCAAATCCTCTCCTACAGTGGGCCTACATCACAGTCCCTGCATCTGCCTTCCAAGACTTGGGTGGTGCGGTTAGAACTTTGCCAGTGAAGACCGAGGCAAAGAAGTCATTCAGAACCTCAGCCTTCTCCAAATCCTGTGTAGCCAGTTCTCCCAGAGCTTCCTGAGGGGGCCTACATTCTCCCTAGTCTGTCTTTTATTCTCTGTGTACCTATAGAATCCCTTCCTGTTATCCTTAACATCCCTAATCAAGTTTAATTCTCACCGGGCCTTAGCTTTCCTAACCTGGTCCATGGGCAACCCCTTAGCAGGGTTCCAATGTGTAATCTTCATTTGAAGCTGTGAGGAAGGAATTCTGCCAGATCATTTTGTGCACCACATTGTCTGGCAAAAGAGCACATGAGCAAATCCAGTGTCAGGGCAGACTTCAATGCAACCCGATTATTATTTTCTGTCTCAAAAGCAGAAGAGGTTCTAATGCTTTTTCTCTTCTCAAACTTCTCATTCCTCTGAAAAACAGGGATGTTTGGAGGTAAAGCCTCCCAGGGAAAAAAAACTATTTTCTTTAAGGAAAAATCAGAAACCTGTTGAACCCCGTATTACAACCTGAATGATGATGCTACTCCCTTCTTCTGGAATGAATTCCACTAAAAGAACAAATCTGAACTTATAATGAGAAAGACATAACTTGAAAATGCATTTAAGCCTATGTGTAAAGGCAATCCTTGTCAAATGGCTGCTCTGTCATTAGCAGCACACAGTTTTAGTTGCTGCTAATCAGGAATGAATCAGGACTCTAGAAAGTAAAATGAAAATAAGATTTCTCAGTAAATGCGCTTTTCCATGTGCTTTTTCATCTCTATTCCCTGCCCTCCAGCAGTGCTGGCTTTCCGCCTATGACAGTCTGAATCCCAGTTCAACTTATTTTTGCTTTTGAGTTAATCCAATTTATTTTGGCCTGAACCAGCTCCTCTCAAAGAAGCAGGAACGTCAGCACAATGGTAGGGGATGCTCACTTCAGCTGCCTGTCCCCTCTTCAGACACAAGGTGCAGCTCTCGAGTTGCAATCAAGAGATATCCCTGCAGCAGAGAGAGATGGAGCATGCTTATTAAAATGTAAAATGTCATGAACCTATGGGATGCCTCGAGCTCTTTGGAGGGTGCTATCAGGATACAGCATTATCTTGATAAATAGAAGAAATGCTGCAGTGAATGCGATGCCAGCCCACGAGCACAAGCACAAAACACAAGAGGCAGGCACAGCCCTCAATGAAATGAAGAGGGGAAATGACTGATAGGCACCAATATCTCCAAAACGTATTTAGAAGATACAGAGGCAGACAAAGATAATTCCAATCACTAATATCCTGCCATTGTAATTAAAGCAAGCATCATACTTGGATACATAAATACAAATACTTGAATATTTTTCACTTGCATCTCCATTCACTAGGTGAAATGAGATAGTGTCCTTCAACCTCGCCTGGAGTTCTAAGTATAAAGGCGACCGCATTTCCTCCATAATGTACCTTGCCTGCCTATTCTAAAGTGTAAAATGAGAAAACTTCTAATCAAAATAGCTGGGTCATTAGGACCAAACGCACCTCTATTGGATTCAAGTTCTTTTTCAGGATAAGGTTGGGAAAAATAAAATGCTATCTGAAAAGGAGTGGATGAACCTTGACATGCAAACATGAAAGATTAATGCCACGACATCTGATGAGCAAGAGGACAAGGCTGACATTATGGTGCACTCTGAAAGGGAGTAGGTAAAAGGGTATCAAACTAAGAGAACCCGGCATAACAGTCCTCAGGGAAATAGACAGACTGGATGAACTAGATGACTTTTAAAGGTACCTTCCAACCCCAACTATTCTATGGTTCTATGAAATGGCAACTGCTAAACTGCATTTAGGCAGACACCGATTGCACAGCATAAAGCACTCCCTAAGGTTTCTTAAGCCCTAACATAGTTTGCCTGGAGAATCTGTGTTTTCAGAGGTTTTAAGAGCAGGTCACTTTTTTTGCTGCATAAGCCAAAGTCCCAAAGAAAGCAATGAACATGGTATAAGGGCACAGCAGGGTACCTCTGGTCTGGTTTTGGGGAGCAGTCTGAATCAGGGATACAGGAAAGGCTGCCCTGCTGCTTTCCCAGCTGGATTATCCAACGTGTGAGTGTTCCTGGGCCTGGGATGGAAAAGCCAGGCTGCTCCTGCCTTCTTCCTCTTCAGTCACTGTCCCCCCTATGACTTTTAGGATTTGTTGAAAATCTGCCTCTTCATATCTGATGAGGAAAAGGAAAGGTGCTCTACAGCGTTCCCATCCTCCCCTCCATGCTGTGTTTGTGGCTTCTTGACATGGGAGTGGAGCGGAGCCCAGTTCCCCCGCATACCCAAACCCAATATCAGATCTGCACTCAAAGCTCTCCTTGGTGCTAACACCCTCCAAGGCCAGGAGCTAGAATCCCACTCTTCTAAATAACACCACCCATGGCAGCCCAACTCCCCAAGCCACATGAGACAGCACTGCATGACAGGCCAGCCAGCCTGCATCCCACATCCTGCACCCTACATCCCATATCCTGCATCCCACATCCCGCATCCCATATTCTGCATCCTGCATCATCTCACATCCCGCAACTTGTATCCCACATCCCATATCTCATATCCTACATCTTGCCTCCCACATCCTGCATCATCTCACATCCCGCATCCTGCATCCCACATCTTCCATAGCTACTCTGCTTTTGAACTGGAGAGCTGGGCTGAGGCTGCAACAGGGCTTCTGGGGCAACGGTGTCCCAGTGCCAGAGTGAGCCTGATCATTCCAGCATGTAATTTCTGACAGCACCTTCCCCCCAGTTACCTCTCTCGTCCTCGATATTATCGACATGGTGGTAATAAAAAGATGTGGGGTGTATAACTCGGAGCAATAAAGACAGCCAAGGACTAGATGCAGAGGGGTTACCTCATTCTTTAATCCTTCCCTACCTTCTGCAGCAAGGGTAATTGCAGAGATGATGAGCTGACCTTGGACTGCCTGACTCAGACCTTCAGAAACTAATCTAACAAGAACTCATGAGAGGAGCTATGCGGGGTGAAAGCGGGTAAGTCTTCGTTTTGGTTATAAAGACCCTGTATTTTCCTCATTGCTACAGCTTGGCCTTTCAATAACAGCAGAGCAAGGATGCCATCAACTCATGCAGTTATTCCTTTCCCCGTAGAGACTGTAGTAATAGCTGTCCAGCCACATCCTAGGCACACAAAGGGTATACCATCCATCACAGCCTGGTTGTGGTACTTTCATGCTGCTAAGCACAGCAGGAACAGCTGAACCAGCGGTGAGAGGGAGCTCTGCAGGGCACAGGACCCACACCACTCTCCAGGCAAACCCATGCTGAGATGGTACCAGCGATTTCCCTCTAAACCCCACTGGGGTTTTACACTGGCAGCAGCCTGTAAATGAAGTATTGCAACATGTTTGTAAGACAGCTGTATAAAATGCTTCCAGATATAAATTCATCCATTGATGAATTTATCCATCCATCCATGGATCCCATCTGACTACACCACTGTGTAGTCAGATTGGATCCAGGCCGCTCGCATTACTCCGCAACACTGGCTGGGCTCTTGCCGTGATTTCCTCATATATCATGTGTTTGGAAGCTTGAAACGTTATTATTTCTTTTGGCTTTACAACTACATTTCATCTGTCAGCACTGAGCGCTGCAGGAACACACAGGGACAGATGGGCCTGGGCTCTTCTTCCTACCCAAACAAACACAGGCACAACCAGGGAAAGCAGCTGCTGCAAGGTCACGCTCTGGGGCAACGTTCTGATTTCCCACCTAAATTTCACCTGCTCAGTAAACCAGTTCTTCTGCAATGAATGGCAACAGGATGAGTTAAAACAGTGTTCAGGTGCCTGAAGTAAGCGGAGCGATTGCCAAGACCCTGAAAGTGATTTCCATCGCCTGATGTGTCCTTGGTTGTGGTACAGGATGGGAGTTCTCCAGTGTAACTGGCCGTTTCCACCCTTGTGGCTTGGGCTGTCATGGCACACACTGCCATCATGTGGACATCCACACATCGAGCCAACCGTGCAGATGTCCTTCCATACCCAGCGTAGTTTAGCCAGTCCACATGTCCAGGAGGTGAAGCCAAGCCTCTCCTCACCCTGCCAACCTCTCTGGCTATCAGGAGACCCTTGTAGCTGCTTTATCATGCTGAGATCTTCAGGAGGCTCCATACCTCAGTCAGGATGCCTGGGAGCAACAGGGCTGTGGGTTCTCCTGGTGCTAAGCAGACTTTCTGGCCTTGTCCCAATCCCTTATGATGACCAGACGGGTGCTGGCCCCTTTCACTTTTTCTCCACTTGAATTTCTGTGGCCATTTCCCTTTTCCTTTAGGAATTCCATGCTTTCTGCCCTGGCAAACCCCTTGAGTTATCTTCCCCAGACTGTGCCAAGTGTCAGACAGAATGTTCATGGCCCCTCTTGCCAGGAAACCTCTGAAATACATGAGAAAGGCATTTCTATCCCCTCCACCAGTGAAACACAAAACGCAGAGGCTGAAGGCTGGATTAGGCACCCACTTTTGCTATCCCCAAAGATCAGATTCTTGCTCCATACCCCCATAAATGTGGATTTATCCACACTATCCCTTATGTTCCTTCCCTATCAGCTCAACACTTGACATCTCATTAGATTTTCAAGACAACCCATGCCCCCTTGGCCCCATGCTCAACAGTTGTTGCTGGTTATTGAATAACTACCGAAGAGACAGATGGGTACAAATCCACCCTGCTCAGTAACCCACAGTCAAACCCATTGTCCAGGGACTTTGTCACTAGTGAGAATTTGTCTGTTGTTACAGAAGTTTCATCTGAGACAGAGCCAGAATCCAATGGCCTGACCCCTCCACCTCTGGGTCTTAGGGCGTTTCTGAGTTGTTTTATAGGTGACTGATGAATGGTGCTTCCCAGTTCCAGACCAGATGGTCTGGTAATAGGGTAGGTGCCACAGGACACCCCAGAAGAGCTCCATTGGCCATGACCAGTCTTTCTTACACTCCAACTCTGTTCTCCTTATGTAGCCCTTGTAAGGCACCCAACTACATGACACTGCTGGATTTATGAGCATGCTACAGGTCTTCACATGATGGACCCACAGCAGCAATCCCACCTTCCAATGTCCTCAGTCTCATGGAGCCCTCCTTCCAGTCCCTCCCATCCATGGACAAGGGTCAAGTTGTTTAGGGACTGTTTCCTAGAGGATGGTCTGTGAAAGAGCCAAAACACTGTCTTAGAGCTGGTTGAGAGGAAAAAGGCCTGGTGTAGGGACAGCTTTGGGGCAGAGTCCATGCAGCACTGGGGATGGGGAGTGGGGTCTGTTGTAGGATACAACACTTGAATCTAAATTCAAGGTTAATCCCAGGCATCACGGTAGACTTGTCCAAACTCTGTGACCTCACTTGATAACAAGAGAAAGCACAAGGTAACACTGCTCTTCTAACACTCTTCACCTGCCCAATCTAGCTTAGCCTCACATTTTGAAAGCACCTTGCAGAGCCACTAATCTGGTTCTGACAGTCCAAAAGTGGCTCCTTGTTCCATATGTTCACCCTTCTCCCACTCCTCAGGTAAGCAAGAATCATCAGCATCCTCCCAAACTGCAACCCACACTCATTCCAGCCAACTGGCCAGCTAGCCAGCCTGCACTGCCTCCTCTCCTGGTGGGAAGCCCGTTAATCATAGTGCTGCAGACAGGTGAAGGATCGTAAATAGATCTAGAGGTAGTAGATGTGTCTCCTACACCTAGCCATGAGGTGCACGGAGTCAGGTGCTCCTCCTAAGGAGTGTGAAGTTGGTATGACAGATTGGGTCCCTCTTGCTCTGACCGCAGCTAAAGCCTTCTCTAAGAAATGCCCAACCCGACAGACTGCAGCCTTCAGCCTCCTAAAGAGCAACCTTTAATTCCCTGAACTTTCGCACAGATCCAGCTGGCTCAGCATAACGAGATATAATTAGCGTCATGGAGATGGCCAAGTGTGTGAAAAGCTAATGCTCTTCAGTGCCTGCCAGGGATGTTCTCCAAGGCAACACAAGGAGAGCCGGTGTGTTCTTTTAAACTGTCAATGGAAGCGTCTGTAATGACTTACCAGGCTCTGGCACAAAGGACGAAGCATGTCAGCAACTGATGGGGAGAAAGCAGGATGACAAATGCCAGCCAGGGAATACAACTCCTCCTTCCTCTTCTTCCCGGCCTGAGGAACCAGAGGCACCATCTTAATGGAAGTTACGTGGGTCCAGTTCAAGGGGCAGACACGTGGTGGAGGTGAAAATGTGCTAGGCCAGGGCTCAAGCAGCCACAGCATCAAGTCTGGGGAGACATAAGAGATTTTCAGCCGTTGTCGTTGGCTCTTTCCAATGGATCTTCCTGCCATGCTAACAAAAGCCCAATTCCATGTGGACAGCTGTAGTGTTGACCGGGTCACTCATCACAGCTGAGGAGCCCATGCAATCACTGTTTCTATGGAAATGCTGAAGAAACATAGTCTTGATATTGGCAGACTAGCAGAAGTGTATTTACAGCCCAGGAACAGGCTAAGAGGAGATCATAGAGTTGATGTTTTCGAGAGAAAAGAGCGTTTCTAGAGCAGTCTTCTACTACCAGCATGCAGAAGCAAGGGACAGAACCCTCTTCAGCCCAAACTTTAGATGCACAATAGGAGGTAGCTGTTAGCCAGCTGACATGCCCAAGTGCCCTGGATGCCAACCTCACAATGCAATCCCAGAAGTGAATGAGGAGCTTTGGAAACCTTGTCACTGATGGAGATGGAGGCCACTGTTAGAAACTGCCACTCCCAACTCATCATACCTGAGCATTGCAATGTATCTTATCACCACTGAGAACCAGGTGATGATGCATGTGACAGAGACCATGTACCACGCCAGCTAATGTCAGCAGGGGTATCAATGTTCAGCCAGAAAATCTACAGCTGAACCCCAAAGAGCAGACAGAAGCAGTGGGATGCACAGTCACACATCCCTCCAAAGGACAATGGAGGTGAAGCCACCTAAACCCATAGGACCCCTCTGTGAACCATTCAGCTGAGAGGATGTCTTTGTATGGCACTGAGCATCCTCTAGCTGTGTGGCAGGGAGGACAAATCCTCTCCCTTTCAAGGACCCATAGGTAACATTGCAGTGCCTGTGCTGGACAGAGGGTCAGGTTGAGTCCTCCTGCTCTGTGTATAATTTACTCTCCCATGAAGAGAATAAAGAGTCATGAATTAGGATGCACATTTCAAAAGGGGAATCTGCACACACATGAAATAAAACTGTCCCAAATGGTGGGTTCTAGTGTGAGCTCCCAAGAGGGGTTGAGAGCTTGGAGAAGTTGCATGTAGAGATTTAGGTGAAAAGGGAGTTTCACAGCACTTCTTCCTGAGGAGTGCCCTCAGCATTTCTGCAGTCTATTGATTCTTCTCTCCCTTAAAGAGCAGAGGATCAGCATAGCTTATGCAGGTGAGCACCTTCCCATGCTACACCCAAACTGGCAATGAGTAATGCATCGATAATCCCTCACGTGGGTTTGTAGCAGCCAGACACTTTAAATCTCCCTAAGCCTGAAATACAAATGGTACCATCTGTACCTACACTTTGTCTTTGCAATCATTGATTAATGAATAGGCCACAAGCCAGCTAAGGGAAAAGTTACTTTGCTAACTTTCAGACATGTTTGTGGAGTCAGGTTATCCCCAGACAGTGGCTCTCAATCTTGCTGCAGCTTATTTTACTGCTCTGATCTCCTTCTCCTTGTATTGAGTCTTGACCATGCTAATTCCTCTGGGTACCAGTTTAGTTTCCTGGCTTATCTATGGTAGGCCCTCTTGGAAGAGCAGTGCCATGGTCCCTTATGTTATGTCCATTCTCTTGATTATACATAAAGTGTTGTGTGATGCTGCAGACACTCAGAGCACTGCTTTTACAGCAGAAGGCACTGGACCCATTCAGCCCATGTGTTGGGCAGAGGTAGCCCATTTGTTCCCCACTTAACGTAGGCAGATGAACAGCTTCCAGACCTGGACTGGCTGAAGATATCTTGGAGCTCAGCTAGAACCTGAGCCCAGCTACCTCTCACCTTGCTCCTGCTATGGCTTTGTCCCCACGGGCATGGATAACTGAGTGCTTTCACTCACTCCTGAGGTGTATGGGACTTCAAAGGAAGTTGGGAATATGTGCAGGTTGGTTGTTAACGAACTGCCTCCGTCCACAGGTTGCTGGAAGCAGGTCAAAGGGTGAGTTGGGAGCAGCAGGCAATCGGCCAAACTGACACAGTGTTTACCATGGTGTTCCTGCCACTATAAATTGCTGACAGCACCACTTCATCAGGCTCAGCTCTAGCAGAGCAGGAGGGAGAGGTTTTTTCCTGCACTGAGCTCCCCATCAGGTGCAGGAGCAGGAGGAACAGAGGAGAAGGCAGTGTCAGGCATCCCAGACACAGGTCCAGCATGGCATCTCTGCTGGACAGCATAGCCAGACCTTCTGCTGTCATTCTGCAGCTGTCTGTGGTGCTTGGTGTAGTCTTTGTGCTGCTGAAGGCGGCCCAATTCTACCAGAAGAGGAAGAAACTCATCAAAGCTCTGGAAGCATTCCCTGGTCCCCCAAAACACTGGCTCTATGGCCACAATCACCTGGTAAGGAGGGAGCTGGGCTCAGGCAGGGTGGGTTTGCTCCAAAATCTGGGCAAGGTATCAATAAGGATAAGAGGAAGCACTGGGTGGGGGGTGAACCTCAGCACAGGGAGCACCAAGGCTTCTGCAGGGCAGGGAGAGAAGGGTGCCTGGATATGAGATGGGCACCATTTGGTAAATAACAGAGCCACGTTGTTTTCAGTCATGTGCTTAAACATGGAGTTAGGCAATTTCTGGGGTTTTCATGATGTTTTTTAAATGTAAGCAACCATAAAATGTCTCTCTTCTGCATTAAACCTTCAACCAGTAAGAGTCTTTCCCTCTACAGCCACTGAAGAAGAGGCATTTTATTGCAGCCATTTTCAGCCTTCTATAGTGAAGATACTTTTGCATTCCCATTACATGCCCACCTTGCACTGCTGAACTTAGAGAACAGGGATGTAACAGCACTGGTCCTCCTGGCATTGCCTATGCCAGCATAGCTCCTGAGTGCAACACCAAGCCCAGGCCACCCTAACACAGCCCAGCTGCAGCCAGGCCCCAGCTAGGGACTCTCCATGGGGCTGCCTGGTGCTGCAGGGACATGCCATCTCAGTCAGCTTTGCCACCTATGCACAGTCCCTTTGCAGTGCCCAGTGTCTCCTCTATCTGCAGTATAGAAAGCTCCCCTGTTCAAGTCCACCTATTCTGTCTCCATTTCCAGGAGAGGATATCTTGTATGTGCTTCCCATGAGAAGGCAAGTTTAGACTCTGCTCTCCCTGGCACATCCCTCTTTCGCTACCTGAATTCAGTCCCTGCTTAATTGTCATTGCAGATAACTACTGAAAACATATTAAACCAGTTATTGTTATGGGGAGATGAATATCCCTATGCCTTTCCAAGATGGTTTGGACCAGTCCTGCCTGCTCTAATAGTCCACCATCCTGACTATGCCAAAGTCATAGTTAGCCAAACGGGTAAGTCTCTACATCTGGTTTTGGGAAGCCATGTCCTTGACACTTCGTTACGGAGAAAATAATGGAAAAGTTGCCTGGAGTCATCCCCTCTGCTGCCTTCCTTCATGGATATTGCAGTTCCCCTTTTTCTCCCCCTCTCAAGCTCCCAACCTGCCCCAGGTTTCATGGAGCAGTTTGTATTCTTGTGCAAAACAGTGACCAGTTGCCTGTTCCTCCCAGTTCACTGTCTCCATCGTCACTGGTCTTAACTGTCTTCTGTGGCATCTATGACCGCAGTAGATGTGCTTCCCAGTAAACCCAATAAAACAGGTGAGCTGGTATGCAAATGGCTCTCAGAAGACATCTTAAGCCTTCTCCTCTCCTCCTTTCTATGGAGCATGATGCCTGTGAGTGGTACATACATGGGCATCAACAGTAACTCCCTCCATTGTTCTCAACTTTGAGATTTGCCATGGCCATTTCTTTGCCACACACATTTTTCCTTATACCTTTCTCTGGTTTTCTCAAGTCCACTGAGGTCATATTTGTAGAAGAGCTCTTTTAAACTCTGCTCTAGTGGTAGAGTATTTTACACAATTAAATTAGACTGATTCTACATTGAGATTTAGGGGACAAACTCCAGTGTAAATTTATCCTGATTTTTCTTTTTTGCTATGCTGAATTCATCAGCTATTCATAATGTTCTGGTGTCTGTTTTGTCTTACAGAACACAAGCCCAGTGTACCCTACAAATTCTTAACTCCCTGGATTGGTAAGTCATCTTTTATTCATTACCCCTTTCAGCCACATTGCACATTTCAGCAGCTTCTCTCTTTTTTTTCCTTTATTCCATTCCGTTCAAAAACCAGAGCTTGCAAATGAGAGGGTTTGTTTGAATGTGAGCATTACTACTGGTGGCGCCCATCTAGTTGTGGAGCACATCAGGCGGCTTTGCCTTAGATCACCCCCCCAAACTTCAGTTTGCTCAGGGACTGAATGCTACCATAGATAACTGGGGGGATACACACCAAGGACAGAAAACCCACAAGTCCTGTGCCTCTGCCATCATGGGCCTGGTTTCAGGGTAGATAGGGTGTGCATGGCTGGTTGCAGTGGGCATGCTTCATCTCCATCCAAGGAGTGCTGCTGTGAATGGCCTCAGAGGCTGAAGAAAGGCTCCATCACCAACTCTTCCTTCTCCCAGATCCTGCACATTAGTCTGTGCTTGCCCAAAAGCAGTAGTAAGGCTGCCAGCACGGTGACCAATGTCTGGAGGAGCTGATTGCACCTTTGCTTCTGTTTCCCCAGGGGAGGGACTGTTGATTTTGGAGGGAGCCAAATGGTTCCAGCATCGGAAGCTGCTCACCCCAGCTTTTCATTATGATGTGCTGAAAACTTATGTGACCCTGATGTCAGACTCAGTCAAAGTGATGCTGGTAAGAATCATCACTCCTGTCACTTTTACCTTTCAGCTGTGCACCAGTGAAAATAGTCAGGTCTGGGAATGACCAAGGGAGACAGGCAGGGTTTAAATGGCTCCTAGTTTGGAAGTTCTGAAATTGCTCTCCTCACCTCCCTCTGGTCCTTCCACTTGTTCTTTCTTTCTTTCTTCTGCCTTCCAATGAAATCAGCCACTGGTAGAACATCCTTTCCTAGCCCAGTAATGGTAAACCTTGAACAAGAAATGCACAGAAGGGTTTGATTAGATTTCACAGAATATACATTGAACTAGGGCCTCAGCTGGCAGATAAGAAAGCAATTAACAATGTGGATCTGGGAAGAGGAATTGGAAAATAGGACCTAATTCTAGATGGTTGTCTGTCCTTCCTTACCCCTGCCTCCACCACTAGGATAAATGGGAAAAGAAGAACACAGACAGGAAGTCAGTGGAGCTCTTTCGAGACGTCAGCTTGATGACACTAGACAGCATCTTGAAGTGTGCCTTCAGTTATAATGCCAACTGCCAGACTGAAAGGTCAGTGCTTCGACTTCCAGATGCTGTGAAAAGAAGTGCTCCTGTTTCCTCACTCTGCCTGCTAACACCAGCTTTAACCTTGATCTCCCTACAGCAACTCAGACTATTATATCAGAGCTGTTTATGACCTGAGCTACCTCCTGAGCAACAGAATCCAGAATTTTTCTTACAAGGATGTCTTCTATAACTTGACTCGCAAAGGCCGGGAGTTTCAGGATGCCTGCAAGCGGGCCCATACCCACACAGGTATCTCTTCGCTTCTCTCCAGCCCTATTTAGGTATCTCTCCCAACTTCTCCCCAGCCCGGTTTCCTAGCTGAACCTTGCCCCCACTTCCATCTGGAGCTGCTCGGAGCGGGGTTGCAGCATGCACTGGCCAGAGGGTTATACATTAAACAAGGTCCAAACTGCTGACCAAGCAGACAGGTACATGAGGTCTCTGGAGGGGCAGGGCACATCTAACTGATCATTCCTCTGTGCAGATAAGGTAATAAAAGAAAGAAAGATGTTGTTCTCCAGTGAGAAGGAATATGACAAGATCCAGAAGAAGAAACACCTGGATTTTCTGGACATTCTTCTTTGTACCAAGGTGAATGTTTGAAATAATCATATCAAATGCCAAACAACGTACCTGTGTGGCACTGAGGATGCACCAGCTGGGAGGTGGCCAGTCCTGGCTGGAATTGCTGGCCCCAGCTTCTCCACTTGGGAAGGAAACACAGATGTGTAAGATGAAGAACATAAACACCTTGGGCAGACTTTCACCTTTCTTGTTCATTTTAATTGAGCACACTGATAGCTCCACATAAGTGAGCTGTCAGAAAGCACAGAAGAATGAGACCTTTGGAAACATTACAAGGGGTCCAGCTTGGCTGTACTCCTCTCAAGTGATTTCATTTATTACCTTCTGCAGTTTTACCTTTGCAGACCTCTTCAGATACTCTGGACAGAAGCTGCCATTTGGTGTTCAGGAAGGAGACACGTTCTCTGTGCGCTCGCTCTGTCTTGCTGGAGCCACTGCTTTCTTTTCTTCTCAATCCGAAACAAAAGTCATCCAAACATACCAACTGAAAAACTTAACAGGGACCCTTGGTAGAGGAACAAATAGAGCCTTTAATAGACCTCAGTAGAGCCCTTCCTTCTGAAGGGCTGGGAACTGGTATCACCCCAAAGCCCAGCTCTGTAGCTCTGTTGACTGCAGAGTCAGCAACGAGCAGGTCTGACTGTTCTCACATATATCGGATGTATTTTCTACTAGCTTACTTCCTGCTGTACAGGGAGATACAAAAGACACCAAACTGGGCCCTTCATCATCATCCAGGGTTATTTTTAAATCCAAATCAGAAAGTCCAATTAGTGTGTGCTTAAGGATGGTGTACTCTCCTCTTTGTTAGGATGCAAATGGAGTTGGGCTATCTGATGAAGACCTGCGGGCTGAGGTGGACACATTCATGTTTGAGGGCCATGATACCACAGCCAGTGGGATCTCCTGGCTCTTGTACTGCATGTCATTATATCCAGAGTACCAGCAACGGTGCAGGGAGGAGATCCGGGGAATCTTGGGAGACCGGGATACTGTTGAGTGGTGAGCTAGGACTTCTTATTCCTTTATTTCAAATTCTTTTCACTTATCCTTTAAGGGCTTTGTCACAGTCACCCCACAACATCCTTCTCTCTATATAGGAAAAATATAGATTTGATGGGTGGACTGTTTGGTGGATGAGGAATCAATTGGATGGCAGCATCCAAAGGGTAGTGCTCAATGGCTCAGTGTCCAGGTGGAGATCAGTGATGAGTGGTGTCCCTCAGGGGTCTGTATCTGGACCAGTACTGTTTAATATATTCATCAATGACATAGTGTGTATTTGAGTGCACCTTCAGCAAGTTTGCAGACAACACGGAGCTGAGTAGTGCATTTGAAACATTTGACTAAATGACCTTTAAATGTTCCTTCCAATCCAAACTATTCTATGATTCTAAGAATGAAACTTCATCCACCTTATACTGCATCTACACTGGGACACTTTGCTTTTCACGCAGCAATGCTAGCAGCCAAGGGAGGACTAGGAGAGGGAGAAATCCCAACAAGAGAAGGAAGACGTGGCAGTCCAACGCACCCAGTGTGCAGCACAGGCTGTGGCTGCTGCTGTCCCCATTGCTGTCACTCAAACACAGCCTGACCCAGGTTTGCTTTCAGGGAGGACCTCGGGAAGATGACTTACGCCACAATGTGCATCAAAGAGAGCTTGCGCCTATTCCCAGTGGTTCCTTCTGTGTCCCGACTCCTACATAAACCTGTCACGTTTCCTGATGGACGCAGCTTGCCAGCAGGTCTGTTGGGTTCATTCATCCTTCATGCTGCTGCCAGCAGCAAGTGAGGCATCATCACTAGAGCCCAAGGAGGGATAACATCCCACAAACCCCTCTCTTGGGTTTTCACTCTGAGGTGTCACAAGCCTTTTCTTTTCCAGGCTGCCAGGTTGCACTGAACATATTCGCTATTCACAGGAACCGGGATGTGTGGGAGGACCCCGAGGTATTTCACCTTTGTTATAATAACAAGAATATCTCAGCCCAAACATCCTCTCCCCTTGAACAAGGCAGCCTGTGCCTCCCTGCCACATTTGGGTGTTTTTTCCCCCTCTTATTCTGACATTCCATATTCAAATGCAAAGTGCAATGAAGTTACCAAACACCCAAAGGCTTTGAACAAGACAAAGTGAGGGGAAAGCAGGTTGAATAGTCTATCTTCATGTGTGATGACACAGAGATACTCAGATTACTTTCCACTGCCCTGGATAGACTTAGGTCCCTTAGACTTTAGTGTACGACAGGTCCCAAGCCCTCCAGGCAATGTGTGATTCAAAGCTGGTATCTTAGTATTCAGGGAAAGAAAGAGCTGGGAAACTCAAAGGAAGGTGTACAGCTGCCTCTGTCCAGTGGCTGCCTGGAGAGTCAGGTTCGGCTATCTCCGGACCAGAGAAAGTCTGAATTGATGATGGCTGCCATGGATGAGAAAACACCTTCAGGCATCTTGGGCACTGTAGAGGGTAATCGGGATATCTCCAAGGGGAAAACTGGCACAGGCAGCAGCTCTCCACTCTCATCCACCCAGTGGCTTTGTAGGGAGATGCCTGTGAGCTGCATCCCCCCCAGGGACAGCAGAAACCACGTCCAAGCCTACCGTGGGGACTGGGGGAGATCCTGGTGCTGCTCATACCAAACCAAACCAAACCCTGACCTCACGGCCTTTGTTGTTCTCACAGGTCTATGATCCCCTGAGGTTTTCTCCAGAGAACTCAGCACAGAGGCATTCCCACGCTTTCCTGCCTTTCTCTGCTGGATCCAGGTGGGAGACCCTTCCTCTCTTTTCTTCTTTGTAGATTGCCTTACATAGTAGATCTAGCTCAGAGCGGAGCTCCTCAAGCTAATCCTCCCTCTGTGCCCTTGAGCCAAGCTGGCTTGGCCAACTCAAGCAGGCTTTCTGTAACCAGATCTCCACCATGCTCCACCAGCTCCAGAGTGTTTCCTACACCCCAAGCTCTGTGGTCACCATAGGATTTCACACACTCTTCATGTGGATTTTCAGAGGTGTTTATATTTCTGTTGCCTGCATTGGGAACACAGGCTCCCTTGCTCAGAGATGAACACCCACTGCGCCTCAAAGCCAAGCTGGGTCCAAGTCTGTGGTTTCCATGCTGTATCAACATGCAGGATACTGAAGTCTCGGTAACTTGCAGAAGATACTCACAGAGCCAAAAATAATCTTCCTGAGGTGTCCAGGTTTTCAGCTGGATCCATGCAGCCCTTTCCAGTGAAGTAGGCCCCAGCTTTCTCAATCTCACTTATTTTTTCAATGCTCATTGAAACACCACCACCCCACCACAGTGGTAGGTACATTATGTTATGGTACCAGGGGATTCCTAGATAAGCTGTGCCATCATCTATGCAGCAACTGGAGGTTCCTCACTGCCCAGCTTGGAGGCAGTTGGGGATGAAGGCAGCAAGTAGAGCGTTTGTTCTCCTCTCCCCAGGAACTGCATTGGGCAGCAGTTTGCCATGAACGAGATGAAGGTGGCACTGGCCCTGACCCTGCTCCGCTTTGAGCTCTGCCCTGACCCATCCAACCCTCCCACACTGACACCACAGATCATCCTCAGGTCCAGCAGCGGGGTCCACGTGCATCTGAAGAAGATCCACTGATCCCCTGAGGTACCACAGCATGGGTCAAGACCTATCCCAAGGACCACCCTTCGTCCAGAGGGCGACACCAACCAGACTCACCCTGGCCACCTCAGACCTCTCCCACATTAACCTCCTGCTGCTGTCCAGGGGGGCACAGTGAGCCCTTTCATACACACCCTGAACCCAGCAGGTCTAGGTCCCCTCCTTGCACCAGGAATAGCACTGCCAAGTGAGTTTCACAGCACAGCTACGGCTCAAGCATCATCTCCATGGGCATCCTCCATGTCCTGCTCATCTCCACACAGACTGTCTGACAGGACCTCTGTCACCCTCATGTCTATATGCACTGTTACCAGTTCCCTGCTTGGGCATGACAATGAAACTGGCAAGGTTTGTATGGCTGTCTAAAGCCTGAACACTGTCCCAGCACAATATCCCTCCCCTATCCCCAGCCTGAGAGTGCCAGGGCAGGATAACTCCTCCCTACAGCCACTCTGCATCCCCATGCATCACCCTCCACATTATCCCCGTAATCCGCGCCGGGGCTGGCACTGTGCCTGCCGTCATGGAGACAAAAGCCAACGGGGTTTTCTGCCCTGGCGCTGCACTTCCTTGAGCTGAGGGTGCTCATGACCCAGCACAGGGACGTGTCACCAGCTAACTTGGAGAAACAGCCCTCCACACTGAAAACAAAGCATGATCAGCCTTGTTCTCCTCTCTGAAACGTGAATACAGCCTTGTGGAGATGCTCCCAAAGCGTGGCTTTCTTTGGCTTTACATTTGGAGGGCCAGCGGGGTACAGGATGAGTCCCAGCAGCCCAGAGGCAAGGCTGAGCCCGAGGGTGCAGCCCTGCGATTGTTTTCTCAAGCCACAAAGGCTGTTTCAGCGGGTTTGCCCCTCCTGAGCCCAAGGAGCCTGCTTCCACCCCTCCCATGCCATGGGTCACCAAGTCCTTACCTCTGCCTCCGGGAATTTCTGTGGTAAGGAAACGATTGAAATGATCCGGGGTCAACCACAGCAAAACAAAGTCACCATCCTCCAAGTGCTGGTGGCAAGAACAAACTCAGCTTGCAAGAAAACCCTAAAGGTCCCAATAGGGAGCATGAGTCTCAAGCCCTTTTCTGCAGAGGCTGAGACCTGGCTGCTCAGTACACGAGTGAGCTGCCCAAGGGGTGCAGGTGGGTGCTGACCCTGAGACCAGGCTTGTTTTAGGGATGCAGGGACCCCCATAGGGCCTCACCCCACCACTATCCTTAGATGGGCTCTGGGGCTAAGACCCATCTCGGTGAGCTGCAGGTCCAGGGTGTGAAATGGATCACTAGGTGGCAGTGGGAGACCCTGAAAAACACGGAGTCCTCCCACGTCCCTGGGCAAAACCCCCTGGGCTTGGCAGGGAGCATGGCCAAGCCCAGCAGGGCAGCTGATGGGTCCCATCTCTGAGGACGTCCCGGTCCTCATTCCCTTCCTCAGCTGCGTCGCACAGCAGAGGAGGCTGCTCCATCACAGTCCCCAGCTTGAAGGTGATACTGCCCATAGCACAGGGAAAGCTTGGCACTGCAAGTGCTGGGCACTCAGCAGGCATTAGGGGAAACTGAGGCATGGAGGACAGCACACATGCCATGCCACAGAGATAAGGCTGTCTGTCCAGCTTCTGCCCACGGCAACAGCATCATCAGCATCACTGCAAGCACTCACATAGCCACACCATGTCCATTCCTCCAGGCAGCTCACTTCTGCTGATGGCCAGACCAGGACAGCCAAACCTGAGCATGTCCCCATCTGAATAAACCACTGCAGTCCCCTCCCTCCCATTTCCAATGCCTGCTGCAAGCTCAGTTTGAGAAACAAAATCCTTCTAGGGCTGGATCCAGACCTCCATTTTGGCTAACAGGTACCTAATGGGACAGGGATGCTGTGAATAACCAGCAAGGTGCAGGCTGCATATATTTTGCAAGGCAGCTGGAGACGGAGTTCCTCTTCTCCCTTTTTCACCCTCAGGAAGGGACTGGATTTAGGTTGTGTAGGTGCCAATGCCATCATCCTTGCACTGATGGCGGACTCAGGCTGGTATCAAAGGTTCTCTGCCTCCCTGGTTCCAGCACAGCAACTGGAAGGCAGCATTTTGATAGCAGCTTTTCATTACTGGCCCTATTTTTCAGACCTTTCAGCCACCCATCCAGGAACAAACAAGCCACCTTGCAGCTCTGCTCATCCCAGCCTGTCTCCTGGGTGATGGGGTTCAAAGGAAGCTAGGTAGCACTTGAAGATGCCCCTACAACATCTTCTGGCTTGGGCATGATGGGATAAGGCCAGAGCAGGAAAAGTTAGAGCTGATGAGGACCCACAGCTGCTGCCTATACCTGTATGTGTACAGTGCCCTGCTTGGCCTCCCAGCCCTGTGCTTGGAGGCCATCACCCTATTCACTGCCATGACCAAGGCTGCTTGTTTGGTTTCCAAAGTGTTCGGACTGTTACGAATGGCCAAACCCCAACTACTTCCAGCAGAGACCTTCCCCAGGGAAACTGCTCTGAGAAATCTGCTTGGGAAAGAGGGAAGAAACTACCACCATTTTTTATGGAAAAGAAAATGAATCATTATTGAACAGTTCTGACAATAATTGAGTCAACCTGAGCCAAACACTTTAAAGTCTCTCCCCATTAAGAATCACACTTAACCCAGATGTGCAGTTTGAAGGACCAAAGCTTTGGGGGAAGATCTCACGGCACCGACACATCATGAAGCCATAATGCAGCAGCAGCAGCCAGGAGAAAATTCTTCTGCTTTTCAGCTTATCCAGGTCAAACCAGGCAACCCAAACATCCCCCCTGCCTTCAGATGCTGGCAGTTTCTGGACAGCAGCGTGTACAAGATAACCTCCTCTGCCAAGCCACCACTAAACTGCTTTGAGAGCAGCAAAAGCAGCACAAGGAGCCGGGCAGCACCCGGTGACACAGATCTAATCACCCCACCATTTGCCCCAAACGTCTCTCTGCCAGGCAGTGACATTTCTACGCTGTCTCAGCTCTCTCCCTCCATCACCATGGTTACAACAGCCGCCAATCCACAGGCGAGTCCTTCCTAGGTACCACCAAGCCCTTTGGGAGATGCTTCGAGAGCCAGCCCCTTTGGCAGGGAGACACTTCGGGGACCCCGGGACAGCCCATAGCACCAAAAATTCCCCTTTTTTCTTCTTTCCCTCCTCCTTTATTATTTTCTCTTTTTCTCCTTTTTTTGAAGCACAAACAATGGAGCTAAAAGGTTGGGTATCAGGCCGATAATCATGAATGACGTGTCGTTATTACACACCACACATTCATTATCTCCCAGTCCAGCCATGTCACAGGCGGCTGGAGGAGGGCAGATAACGGGGTGCCTTCATGCAGATGGCTTATTATCAGGATGTTCCAGGAGGGGCTTTAAGACAGTTAGTGATGCTGTTTGCCAGTTAAAGATTAGAGACCCCAGAGAATAATTAACAATCCCAAACCCCAGTTTTTCTGCTGGATTCTTCTGCTTTCTCCCCCCTCCCCATCCTCTTTAATCTATTCACTCTAGCAGGTGTAATAAAGCGATAAGGACAGGCTCCAGGGATGTTTGTTTGGCTACTACGGGTGTATAAACCAACAATGAATGGTATTTTACTTCTGGCTTTCAGTGCCTTGAATCAAGACCAAAAACTTTGCAGCCCACTTGCCCACACACAGACACCCCAACATGCCACGTTCCCGGCTCCCACCTGGGTGACCAGGCTCTTCCCCAGCCCAATGGTTTACAATGGTGGGACAGGCTCCCTTTTTGCTTCTGGAGGACCAAATTGCATCACTTGGGTGTCAAGGTGCCCAATGCCAGGTACAATGCTCAGGGCTGGAGCTGATGGTCCTTCCAGCAGCCATTTACCTCCATACAGCAAGTCTCTAACTAAGCCACCTTGGAATAATTTATACAGTAGGTATCCACCTGCTCAAGCTGCTTCAGGGCTGTGGTCACAGCTGAAACATCTTAAACATCCATCCCTAAAGTGCCTCAGGAGAGATTAGGGGAGCATTAGAGTACAGGTGGCTTTCAACAAGATGTCCTGTTATCAGGGGATCTGAGAAACAACTTTCACCCTCCTAGGACACAAAGGAAAGCTGTGATACGTCTCCTAATGAGGCAGCAGTGCAAAAAGACCATTCTGAATGTCCTCTGCCCAAGAGAAGACTGTCCTGTTCACAGCAGATCCCAACCCTGAATGTATTCCTGAAGCCCAGGCTCCAGAGATACTGACATTACAGAGTAGGGTGTAGGATGGGGTATCCATGGGTGTCCTTCCCCTTCACTGGGGAGCATTGGGGTGACTTGTGGAGGACACAGTCACCTCCTATGCTGTGTGGAGAGAGGCAATTTGGCTCAGAGGCCTTTGAGGAGGTCACCAAGGCTGTTGGAGATGCCCATTATCTGGAAGCTATCAGGATGCTCTGGAGGGCATCCCCCAGCTCGCAGGGTCAATGTGGCAGGCGCAAGTGCTGGGATGCCAGAAGTTGCCTTCCTGATCACGCTCACCCTGCTAGGGAGGGATGAGAGCATTGTGCTTTAAAGAGCATCCCCAACCCTATCAGCAAGAGATGAGATATCCTAATTATGGCAGAACAGGCGAGGATCCGGGCCGTATCAGCCAGCACAGAAAGGTAAACAAGAAATATAACAATGGACCCTTAACACTCATTAGCTGTGTCAGATAATACCTCACTTTTCTCCCTTTGGGCTTCAAATCTAATTAAGATTTTCCAACAATAAATTTCATTTATGCTCGCTCCCTTTTGTTCTTTTTAGGATCACACCAAGAAGCATCTACGAGCCTGCTGCGTGGCTCGTGGGAAGGCAGCCTGCTTCATACAGACAACCTCGGGTTGTGCTTGACAGACAAGGGAAACTGAGGCAGGACTGCATGGAGGGGATACCCCACCATGGAACAACACACTGGTTCTTGCAAAAGATGTCCCCTAGAAAGTGAACTCTGAAGGGGCACTGGCACAATGAAGCCCCATCCTTCTCCTTGCTTGGACCTATGACTATGGAAGGGATCCACTGGGAAAAGAGACCCTGAGACCCATTGAGCACACCTCCACTCCAAACCCACATCCAGGGGAACAGCCCAGACATTCATTACACATTCAGGGTGTGCACATGGCAGGGAATAAACTCCCAATTGTTACTCATTATAAGGATGCAGTTTCTAACTCCTTTTGCAACCAAGAGGTAAAAATTAATGGGTTCCCCTCCTCTCGCCACACCCCCAGCCTGAGTGCTGATGCAGCAGCAGCAAACAATGACTAATCCTCCTTAAACCCTACTGAGCGAAGCTGAACTCTAAGGAGCTTGGTTTTTTCCAAACCCTCATCATATTGGCATCTGCAAGAGGAAAATCAGGGAGCAGCATCCATCAGGGGCACAAGTGGGGAGGTCCAGGACCCGGCCTGGGGCTGGCTCAGCCTCCCCAAGGGCAGGTGGTAGAAGGGTAGAAGCTCTCATGCGATGCTGGGGATGGCAGCCACTGTGCCTTGACCCCTCCAACCCTTCTGCCTGTTTTCTTCTACCCCCGTGCAATTTCTCAACTGGAGCTGTGATTTCTCAATGCTGAGCTTGAGGGTGCTTTCGAAACGCTTGCCTACATGAGGTTCTTTGGGGAGAGGCCTTCCAGGGTGGGTCTGTTACTGGAAGGCTCCTGGATTATCCTCATGCCTGAATTTTTGTGTCACCACCTACTAGGGACATCAACAGCTTTCCCTGTGGGAAGTGATAAGTACCTCTTGGTGAGTGGTAGCACCAGGATCCAGCTCCCTGCTCCACCGCAGAGGGATCCCAGCAGTGGGAAGTGGCCTGAGCTCCCCACCAGGACTGCTGCGTCTTCACTTCAGGGAATACCCATCAGGTTTCAGCGCTGTAGCTGAACAGGGTGTTTTACTGCACCATGTGGAAAGTGTAGGGAAGAAGCCTGCTCCCTCCACCATGCTGGGCAGCACCTTCTCCAGCACGGGCTTGGGCTTTTAAGGTCACTGGCAATGCAGAGAATAGCCCTTGCAGCAGGAAAGCTCCTTCAGGACTGAAAACCACAGAGCAGGAGCTGTGCTAGTGAGAGGCAAAGAGGTACTTTCAGCCCCAACACTCTCCCTGTCTGCTTCTGGCATTGCTGCCTGCAAATGGGTCTGCAAAGCACACCCTGCTCAGAGGCCACAGCTCCTCCCAGATCCAAACCCATCACAGCCGCTGTTTCAGAGCAGGTCTAACACCTCTCTATGCCTCAATACTCAAGAGAAAGTGAAAGCAAGAGGTAGCTCCCGCCACCACCTCCTCCTCCTTTGTGTTTGCACAGCACCAAAACCACCCAGTTCCCCCCCAAACCCAGAGGCTGCCAAAAATGCCCCTCTTATAAACCTCCATCCCATCCATCCCAATCCTGCTCCACCTGCAGTCCCTGCACTGCCCTTGACTGCAAAGCTCCTTATCCTTTTCCTTGTTGTTCAAGGGGAAGACTCTGCACACTGATGTCTCAGGGACGGCCAAGGCATTACAGGTCTCTCATTTCAACCTGCAAACATTGTGGCATGGGAACACTCATTGCTCCCATGGTGGCCTCAGCACTGTCCCCACACAGCAAAACATGGAGCCTGGTTAATGAACAGCCTGGGAGGAGCAGGCTGCACCATGTCCAGCAGCCCATGGGAGAACCAGCACTGTCCAGAGCAGTCCCCAGGCACATCCTGGCAACAGCAGTGATTGCCATTCACAGCCATGGGAATGGTCCCCAGGAATGGCTGTAGGCCTGAGCCCTGTGGCTGGTGGGAGTCAGGGATTACTGGCTTTCACCTGCTAAGCAGCACTGGGAAGTGCTGGATTGGTGCCATGCCTCAGTTTCCCCACCTGGCAAGTGGAGGGGATGATGCTCACCCCCCCCTGTATGGCCCTTTGTGGCTCTGGGGAGATCCAAATCCTGAGCAAGAAAAATGTTCCACTTTTTTCTCTTCCCTCCTGATGCACAGATACACGGAGGATTGCTCCTGGCTTCATCCAAGTGAGGAAATAAGAGATGGAGCCTACTCAGAAGGGATCATAGGCAAAGATGTGGATGCTGACCCCTAAGCATCCTTCCAACCCCCAGAACAATGCCTTCCCTCACACCCCCTTCCCCAGTGTCCTTACCTTCCCAAACTGCCCTGAAGGCTGGGAGTGCCTTTGGATGAGATGCCAGAAAGTCCTTTGGATGATTAGCAAAACGACCCTCTTTGCTGTCCTGTGGGCAACAATTCTCTTTATTGTTCACAGGGAAGATATGTACAGGGGAGAAGGTTTGCTCTGACACTCAAATGCATGGAGTAGGGCCCTGAAAAGGACGGTGAAAGGGGAAGAAGAGAGCAGGTTTTGCATCAGCAGCTCCCTAGTGGGCAGCTGGGAGGTCCCAGGCACCCAGCAAGACTTCTCCATTCCTGGAGCAGGTCAGTACCCCTTTGGGACCAGGGACATCAACGTCACTAACCATGTGTGGTGACTGCCCCGCAGGAGAGGTGGCACCCCAGACCTCTCCTAGGGACCAATGTCCATGTGGACACCAGCCCCTAGGGCAGAAGAGCACATTCTGTGCGTGGGAAGGGAAAAGATCAAGAGATGATGATGCTGTGGAGAGGCTGGGAGCAACACACACGTATGGGGGATGCCAGTGCAGAGGGTCCCTGCGAAATGCCCATCGCGACAGCAGGAAGCAAAGTGAGGGGAGGAAGGAGCATGGCCAGCCAGGGCAGATGCTACATAGCAGTGGTGATCACCCTCTCCTCAGGCTCCACGTTGTTCTCGTAGGCATGCTGGCTCTCTTTGGACCTGTGTTGGAGGGAGAAGCAACAGCACTTAGCTCACTGGAGCAAGACCAGCCTCCCTGAACCCTTGCTGGTGCTGACCACGCATTGAGTAGGGGTAAGGTGGGAAGGCAGGAGGGGAGCCAAGCACAGGGTGGGAATTGCTGTGATTTCTAGTACGGGCTATTTTGGCAGTCAACATCTGCATCGTGACCTGTGGCCGCTTTTGGTGGTTTCTGCTGTTTGAAAAGCATGATGTAGGTTAAGAAAAATGCAGTGTAGCAGGTTTCATGGTGGTGGATGGGCCATGGGGCTAAGCTGCAGGAATAGGAGAGACTGAGGATACTCCCTCACTGGCTTCTCCTTGGTGCCTAGAGAGGATAAAAGCCCCCGAAGTCAAGTGAATGGAGCACGTGAGACCCTGAGTGGGAGAGACTATAGCTCTGCATGTCTGAGCTGTCCCTGGGGTGGTGGAACAGAGCCTGAGCGCCATGGGGAGGACACCTGAGCAAGTTCACCTGAAGTCGGCCGCAGCACTTATGTATTTCCCTTCGTGGCCATTGGACATGACAGGATCCAGCTTGTCCTCAACGCTTACCACCCTCTCGACGTTTTCCCTGGAGGGAGAGAAGAGGGCAGCTGAGATAGAGCAATGGAGGGGCTGTGCCCAGGAGCAGCTCACAATGGTGATGGAAGAGAGGAAGGGACTGCTCCAACACAGGAGGATAAGGGACCTGGATGCTTGATCCTGCCTTGAACACCCAGCTCAGCCCCTTTCCCAGTAGGATATGGGCGAGGAGAGATGTCCTCACGGCAGGTTTGCAGGGGCCATTCCGCATGCTGAGTGCCAGCCCCTGTCTCTGGAGCTGGTGCCCAGCACTGGGCCAGCAGTCAGCAAACCTCATTTGTCAATACATGGGATTGTTTTGTCCCGCTAACTGGTTTTTCCAGTCTTCTTCTATGTAATCTGTTGCAAAATAGTCCCAGACAGGCCCCAACTGAGGGAAATGCTGAGGTTCTGCCAGTGTCACAGCCTGGGAGGACGTGCACGCCCATGCATACAAAGCCAAGCTGCCTTCCTTCAGATGCAACTATGGATTGCTCACAGAAGGAATCATGGGGCAGGGACTGGGTGTTTAACCTCAGCCACAGCCTAAAAGCTGACCTCTGGAGCGAGCCGAATGGTGCTGGGGCAGTTGATCAGAGGGTGGGCACAGGTCCACCCCATGTGCACATCCCTGCCTCCTCAGCCCTTGCCCAAAGGTGATTCCAGAGGTTTTTCCTAGGAACAGACTGGCATAAACAAGCAGGGCCTTGAGCTGATAGTGATTGTCACAGTGGCAGCAATGAGCTGGCATTACTCCAGGCTGCTGAGCCTCACTGTCAGCTCTTCTGAAGAGACCAGGTTAATTAAAACAAGCCACTGTGCCCCCTCAAGCCCTCCTCAGCATCCTCTGCTTATGGGCTGGGAAGAGGCAGCTGGGCACAGGCAGAGGTAGGAAACACTATCCCACTATCCCTGCCTCCAACTTCATGGGCTACGAACTCCTCCACTTTGGGGACAAAGGCTCTTCTTTGGAAAAGACTGCAGTTGCAAATCAGACCATAGGAAAAATATATATATATATTTTCAATGTATATTTATATATAATGCAATTTGTATATATATGTATGTGTAGAATATGTACATATAATGTGTAATTGTACCTATACAGTGCATAATGCAGTGTGTGTGTGTTTATATGTACATACACTGCATTCTGCATTGGCCCTGAATGCATTTCAAAGGGCTCCCTTTAAATGCATCTGGGACAGAAGCCAGCCTGTTGAGCATTGGGATACACCCCAAGTCCCCACCTCCTTGGCCTGGGGAGGCTGCAGAGATGTGCAGATACAAGAAGACTCCATCACCTTTGGCTGCAAAGCCCAAAGTGCCTGTGCTGGGGCAGAGGTATTGGGAACCTGGCTATGGGGTCAGGACTTCACCCCCTTGTTGACTTCGGGCTCAGATTCAAGACCAAGCTGCTGCAGCTTAGCCTGGGTCAGCGGAGCAGCAACAGCAGCAAAGCAGTGGCTTTGCTCGGCTGGCAGCAGGAAAGAGGTAGTTGGTCCCAGAGAGCCTTTTTCTGATGAACAAGGCCACCTCGTTTGTGCTGTGGGCTCTGGGTGAAGAGCACTGCCACACCTTGACTACCTCCCTCTTGTCCCAGCTTCTCTGGGGGCCTTCTAACAACTTGGCTCAGTTTGCTTTGCAAATGAAGCTTCTGGGGGCTTGTTTTCCTGTGGATATAAGGCAGCTGTGAAGTGCCCCCCCCAAATCCATAGGAAACCAGGCTCAGGCCTGCCCCAGGACACACATGCCCATGTAAAACATGCATCTTTCTCACACAGCTTGCTCCTGGCAATGAGTAACAGGGAGCATAGGCCAGGACAGGGAGAAAAGGACAGAGAGAGCAGGACAGGGAGTCGTTGCCCTCCCCACCCAGCTCCCAGGGCAGTGATCACGGTGTTCCCACCCCTGGCATGAGGACAGAGGCAGATGGAAGTGACCTGTGCAGAGGCAACTACACCCAACCAAAGGGCTCCCACACTTACACTTTCTCCTTACACCAGAACTTATTGACCACGAAAGCAATGGCCACCAGGACTAGAAACACAACCACTGCAATGACACCCTGCAACCATGGCTGGAGATTGCCCCGTGCTGCAGGGAAAAGGAGAATATGTGTTAGAAATACATCCTCAGTCTTCATCTGCCAAGCTTCTTCCATCCAGCTTCAGCAATGTGCAGCCAAGAGCTTGGTCCTGCAAAGCTGAGCAGAACATGTTGCTGTTACTCCAGGCAGACTTACCTGAGTGATAGCAATGAAATAAAGTACAAATAACAACAGTTATTTGAACAGAAAACAACAGTTTTGCTGGCCTTTGCGTGTGGAGCATGGTGCCTTGAAGCTTTGTATATGCATACATATATGTATGCAGTGGGGTGCAGATGACTCTGCAATGGGGGATGCAAAGGGCTAGGGGACAGGGAGGGAGGGAAGGAGGATGTTTCCCCGAAGTGGCAGGAGAAAGAAGGCAGACGGACTTCAGCAAACTTTATTCTCCATCCCCAGATCCCACAGACGTCATTCCCAGGTTGTTTTCCAAATACTGCCTGCTATAAAACAAGGACCTCATGACAGGGATAGTGCAAAACACAAAACTCTCCCAGCAAATGGTTGCCAGCGTGGATTTCAGTAAAACACACCATTCAACAAGTTTCCAGAGCAGCAAACTGATTTATGACGGGAAATTGAAGGCTGAAGCATTCAGAGCAACGGCCTCCAAGTGCAAAGGCCAGGCAGGGCTGGCGGGGGGCCAGGCTGCAGCAGGGGGAGGCAGCGGGTGGCCAGGAGCTGGCTGCAGCATCCCTGGCCCCCCCTGGGTTGGGATGGAAGAGCAGGTTCTTTCTGTAGCCAGACCTAAGCAGTAATCCAGCCACGGATGGGAAGGGTGCAAAACATATTCCTGGATGCGTGAGGAACTTGGGGACAGAAGGATGAGAAGATGAAACCTTGTCCCAGTCCTTGCTGGGATGACTGTGCCTTGCCTCCCACTGGCTTTTGGGCAGCAGAGAACTCAGACTTAGTCAAACCCATCTTTAAGTGCTATTACATCAGGAGACTTTGTTCACACACACGCATCCCTTTGGGGTTTCAATACTATATATTCAGGCACAGCTTTTCCTCTTTCTGCTGACTGAAACGCCAACCCTTGCACATAAATGAAGTCACTCCGTGCAGGCAGGTGGAAGATGCTACCTGCCAGCCTCAGCATCAGCCTCGGACCATATGGACCCAACCCTGACACCAGCACCCATGAGGCTGAGCACATTGGTACTTCATTCTTGACATGGGAGTGTTACATTACCTGAACACTTCATCTGTCTCATGGGAGACAAATATGAAACAAACCTCTGCTGTAAACAGTTAATAAACTTTACTAGCAGCAATAAAGGTGGGCTGTGTGCTCTGCACATGAAAAGTCCCTGTAGGCAGCCAGCTCCACTGCTGAAAGCCCTCATCTTCCTCTGCTTTTGGGGAGGGGGGAACATTTACTGCAAAAGCCTTTCATTTATAAAAACAAACCAAAACACCACAAAGAAAAGCTCCTTCCTCCTCTTGGAAATGCAATCAGCTTGAGGCTGACTCACCTCCTGTGCCAGTCTGGAAAGTGGTGGCACCCCTGGTAAGCGGTTGTAAGAGCAGCACCAAACAGCATCCTTCAGCCCCAACACTTCCCCACAGGGACACTTGCCATGTTTACTGCAAGGTCCCGGGGCCAAAACTCAAGCAGGAGGAACTCAGGTGGAAATTCCCACTTGTATCAGTGTGTTTTGGATGAAATCCCATTATACCAGCAGGCTGCTGGTGGCCATACAAGGGGTGGTGGCAGTGATGAAGAGCAGGGTTTGGTCCCATCCTGCCATACATCATAAGCAGGGATGCTTGTGCCCCTGCTGCCCACCATCGGCTGGGTGCAGCCCCAACACACCTATTGCCTCCAGGCTGAGCTTTGGCCTGTTTTGCTTCCTCCCTCGCTCTGCCCTTGGCTGTTATCTCAGCCACATTTATTTGTTAGCTGCAGTTAATTTTTCCTGCCGGAGCCAGGGTTTCCAGCCTAAGCCTAGGAGGGAATGGCTAGGTCCAGCATTCAGTGAGGTTTCTGCTTGGGTTAAGGGAGTTCAAGGTCAACCGGGGAATGAAGTCAGCGATGACTGAAATTGCCAAATTTGCATCTCATGATCTTTGAACAAAGGAGGCGAGAAGATCAGTGGTAGGAAGCATCCTCCTGGCAGCCAGGCTCAGGAGGTACTCTATGTTTGTGCAAGCAAAACCCCACTCAGGAGCTGTTTCCAGCCATATTTCCAAGCATCCAAAGCCAAAAGGTGAATTACCGAACCAAAATCAAGTGGTTCTGGCTTTAAGAGACCCTGTAGAGACCAGTTGCAAGGGGAGATGATGGATAATGAAGATGAGGCTAGCAGGGGGAACAGTAAACGTCTCTGCCCATGGACATGGAGAACTTCCATGGGCATAACAAAGGAGGAGGCAAGAACTTGATAGCATCTTCTATCCAGGGAGTGAATATATGGATCACAGCCCTGGGGGACACTGCCTGGCTGGAGCCCCACCAGAGCATGCCTTGCTGCCCTGCCAGGAGGAATGGCCAAAAGGATGAGTCTTACCTGTGGAAATGGGACTGTGCTCCTGGAAAAGTGCTTTACCAGAGATGTTCCTCCTGGTGCAGCCTGTCCCTTGGGCTCTGCCACCTCCTCTCTGTTTTGCCCCATGGTAATGACAGGGTTTTCCTGCCCAAACAAGATCTCCTAAACCAGATTAAGCAACGTGGGATCTGCAACCCCGGCAGATGTGTGTGCACGCATCTGCAGCTACAAATGAGACCGAGGGAAGTGCCGATGACAGTATAAGCCCTTGCCCGTGTTGCAAGTCCATTTCTGTCCTCAGCAGCTGGCTTGAAGACATAGATCTGCTTTTTGATACTGAGTGCTTGGAAAGCATCTGCTAGCCCATGTTATCCACTTGAGGAAGCTGTGTCAGGCTCTGCATCCTCATTAAAGGCTTTTCCCCCCCACCTCTTTCGAGGCAACAGCAAAACGTTCAATCCTGCTGACAGCGGAGACCCCAGACTGTTAAATCCTCAGCAAGTCGGTAAACAAACACAGGAAGAGCGGTCAGGGCTGGAACATCAGGAGGAGAAAGGGGGAGGGAATTTTCCAGGACTTTGGCAGCACGGGATGAGTTTTAATTACAGCTCATTATTTCTGGCGTTAGACAAATCCTTCCATGGATTTTGTAAAAGTAATGCCCTGGCCATAGGAAGTTTCTCTAAGTCTTTAGGAAGGGAACGGGAGGGCAGTTTGCAAAGGAAAATATTTGCCCCCTCACCTCGGCAATGATCAGAATTACAGATTAACAGGAAAACCTGAGAGCTCAGGGAGCGACCCGGGGACAAGGGGACAAGTAAGAAAGGGAGACAAAAAGAGCCTGAAGAAAACGGATTACTCATCCTGGTGCACCGTAAATCAAAGCTGCTTTGTCTCCACGTAATCATGTGAGATAAACCTCAGCCAGCGGCTTCAGCCTTTGGCAAAACAGGTAGAAAGTCTCCATTGCCCCAGCTCCGGCAGCACCTCCTAACCCACCAAACACCCTCCCATCCCCATTGCCCGCTGATGTGAAGCCAGAGCTAAAGCTGGGATATTTCTCCTCTTCCCAAGAGGCTCCTTCTCAGTTGTCCTTGTCCCCAGAGCCATCCCGCCTCCCGGGACTCCGCACACCTTCCTGCCTCAGTTTCCCCATGAGGTCCGTTCCCCTGCACTCACCTTGCTGGCAGCAGGCAGGCTCCGGGAGCAGCCCCAGGAGGATGAGGAACAGGCAGCGGGCAGGCATGGCGGCAGGCAGGGCCTCGAGCTCTCGGAGGGAGCAGCGGAACGCGGCCGCTCCTGCGTTTGGGCACGCCGCCCTCCCACTGCGATGAGCGCTTGGTCAATTATCAAACGCATTAACGAGGGAGGCCGATGCTCACACCTGGGTATTCAAATCCCACTGCGGGGAAAAGGGGTGGAAGGAGGTGCCTCTGTCTGGCTCCCGTAGAAGGGGAATCTGGGGCACGGTGACTTGAACGTGACAGTCCCCTTAGGGCGTGGAAGGGGACTCAGGTGCAAGATATTTGCATCCACCCAGGAGGAAGAAGTGACGCCCAGATGGATAAATCTCTCCCCCAGGGCTTGGGGAATGTGGCTGGACAGGACCTGGGTGTCCCCCAAGCCCTCCATCCCCGCAGCAGAAGAGGGGTCCAGCAATGCCCCAGCTCTGACATCCCTCCCCATCCCACAGGACCCCATGTCCTGAGGGTACAGGGAGCTGCCCGGCACAGTTCCCACTCTCTTCCTTGCTGTTTCCTGTTCAGTAAGTGTCATTAATAACCAAACAAAACACATTTGTAGCTTTAAAACCTCCATTTAATGAACCAGACTTGATGCCAAGTGTTGCCTCCCATGCCTTGTTGAATGGAGAGACTGTTAAAGAGATTAAACATAGCATTCATTTCATTGAGCCTTCAGGGCTGTTCCCAAAATTTCTTTCACATTGAAAGAGGCAGAAACACCCAAAGACCTGCAGTAGATGGCAAAGCTGGCCCTTCACCTCAGCAGCACCAATTCTGTGGGATGGGGGAACGTTGCACGTCCCAAGTTAAGCAGCTTTCCAGCCTGTGCCAGGTTTGGATGGCTGACAAACCCACCCTGCAGGAAGAATACAAGCTATTTGGCTTCACAGCTACACAACTTCAGTTACTTCTGAAGGAAATGTTAAACCTGTGAGCCAGTAGTCGCTCTTCTCTTGCTGTGTTGTAGCATCTCTGTAAGCCATCACAGAGCATTCCTCTTCAGCAGCATCTGAGCTCCCAGGCTTTGGGTCTGGTGGTCCTGTCCTCAGACCCCACCTGAGTGTTTGTATTCCCCTATGGGCACCTGGAACACACCCATGGTCAGGAACATGCAGCACCCTCAGGAATACATACCCACGGATGCAGGATTGCCCTCCTTTATCCCTCCTCTTTCCCCTGGATCTACAATAATGTAATTTGTCCTAAAAAACAAGCCAGAGCTGGCTCGAAATGCACTGAAGGCCAGTCCCCAGCTCTCTCCCAAATCCCTTTCCATGGCCAAATCCCCACCTGCAACATGGGATAATCCCATTCCCAACACTGCTAGGTTTTGTTTATGAACTCCCTGAGACAGAGACTCTCTCACTGCACCCCTCAAGGAAGTGGCATGACAGGGACCTGCCCATAATAAGGCCCTGTAAAAGCAATGTGATTTTGTTAAAGAGAAACAGGAATGGCTTGCAAAGAAATAAAAGTAAGAGTGAACTTTGGGTTCCCTTTGACTTGCTTCCACATAATCTCTTTGGGAAAGCACACAGAGCTTGCACTCTTTGCTGCCTGCTTGTTGCTTGTCTCTTAGCAAAAGGCCATCAAAAAACCTAGCTTTTTGGAGCAGAAGGCTTTATCAGCAGATCAGAAGCCCTAGAGCAGTCCTGCTGCTGCCCTTGGGAAATTCAAGGTCTGAGGCATCTCTCTGCCATTGCTATCTACACCCCAGTCATGCCTGGGGCTGCAGCAAGTTGCTCACAGGGTCCCTTTTGGTCCTCCTCTGCACGTACCCCAGGTTGTCTTTTCACCTCAGGGCTCTGCTCAGCCCTGCTCCAGGGACCCTGGGTTGATTTTTCCAAGGATAGGGATGTCTTAAGGATCCACTTGTATCCTATCATGTGCTGGGGGAACAGGACATGACAGACCAGACCTTGAGATGGAGTCAGGGATGCTGTGCCTTCCAGAGAGGGGTCTTGCTGTGAGCTCCTTCCTGAGGAGCAAATAACTCTTTACCGTTGCACATTCCCACCTTTACCCCAAATGTATGGGAATGTAATTATTTAATTGTCTGGGCTTGCTGATGAAGACAGAGAATTTCTCCTTTGCTTATCTCAAAGCTCCCCTGTGCTTCAATGCACCTTCTTTAGCCCCCCGGCAGCTATTAGGAAGGCATGTGCTCTTGTGACCATGGCATTTGCCTGCTTGCATACCCTGGGTCTGGCCTAGGAGGGGGATGAGAAATAGCAAGTCACTGCAATGGCAGCAGCCTTGTTTCAGGGGCAAAGTCTGAAATTTTGGCAAATAATTTGCCATCCACCTTCTGCTTTTGCCATTCTGGCTGCAGTTTGGGACCCGCGGGGATAAGAAGCTTTGTGTTTCTGCTGCAGCGTGCTGGCAATCTTGCCATGTCTCTCATCTAAGCCTTCAGCATCACCCAGATGTGGTGAGTCAAAGCCGTACAGGTCCGTTTTAGAGGTGGAGGAAACTGAGGCACAGAGGGCAAATCTCCTTGGCAGCATTTAGTCAAACCCAAGTGGAGCCAGAGGCAGCTCAGTTCTCTCCCAGGGACCCACGATCAGTTGCCTCCACAAGTCTTGCACAAAGCAGATCTTGCAATTTCAGGATTTACACTGATATCCTCCAAAAATTGGCATTTTTTTTCCCCCAAGAAATGTGTAATTTTTAGCCAAAATTAACATTGGCTCAAAGCAACATTCCTGAGCCTAAAATGTGTTCCTGGGTGATACAGCTCACAGTAGAGATGCCAGTTCCTCTTCGAAAAACATTGCAGGGCTCTGTGTTTTAATGGAGGTTATTCTTCTTTCTCCTTCACTTCCTTCCTTCCTTCCTCCTTCCTTCCCTCCTTCCTTCACTCCATCTCCTCCCCCTCTCTCAGAAAGAGCCATAAAAATGAAGCATATATATGAGAGCAAGACTGAACATTCCCTTTTGTATTTTTCCTAAGGAAAAAGAGTGGTGAATTTGTTGCATTTCAATAGCTGCTCCCAAAAGAAAAGGGAAAACAACAAAAAACCAAGCCCAACCACAAACACAATTTTTAATTGCTTGTTTCGTTTGACATTTGCCATCAAAACCAAATATTCTTTGCATGCCCAGAATTCCCTCATTTCGTATTGACACTGGCTTTCAAATTCTGCCTGGGATGGAGAGCCAGGAGCTATAGCCGCTGTGAAAAGGGCATTTTCTTGGCCTGGTGTGCCAAGATGCGGATAAACAGCACCAGAAAAAGGCAGCCCCTGCTCAGGCTTTTCATCCTTCACAGCTCTGTACCCTGCTTCCCTTCTTTAAAAATGCTTTTAAAGCAATGTATTTTGTTATTTACATGCTGATGAAAACCCTGGTTGCAATGGTGTGGCATTAGGGCATCACCCCACACCAGCCCCGTCCTCCCTCTGTCAGCACAGGGTTCAACTGGGCCATTTGTTCCCCTCCTGCACACACACAGGGACAAGAAAAAGACATCTCTTGGCATTCTAATTGGACATTTTATTAGACCATACATGAGTCCCCCAGCAATGATGCTAATTGCAAGCCCTGAATAAGCAGCAGGGAGAAGAGGGTGACATGGTGATTGCCATGATCCCTCCTGGACCTTCATCAGGAGAGGATGTGGATTACCTCCTTCTCCTCCCAGGCAGCCTGGATGGGTCAGCCAAGGTCACTCCTGACAGGACACTTGCTGGGAGCTGGTACCCAGCAACTATCTGAGATGGGGCATCAGCATCAGGCACTAGGCATGCCCTTCATTGTCCCTCAAGATCTGCTCAATAGCATCACTGTGGCCCGTATGTATTTCATGGGACCCTCTGGATGATGCTTTTCACACCAGCTGGTTTTTGGCATGGATCTCTGGGCAGCATTCACACCGGACACTGTCTGTGCTGGAACCTGATGCTACCACTCTGTACATCTAAGGGCAGCAATGGGCTGTCTCCTCTATCCAGTTGCCCATTTGCACAGAGCTGCTAGGAGTTGTCCCCTCTGAGCACCTCTGCTCCTGGCTTCAATAGCTGCCATGGAGCTGACAGCATGTTCACATTAGCCTCAGGCCCTGCAACTTGGAAAATTAGGCTAAGAAAAGACCTACCTGATCTGTCACACCTTGTTCTGGGCTGGGAATAATCATAGAATCATAGAATAGGTAGGGTTGGAAAGGACCTTAAGATAATCAAACCAAAAATTCCTGGAACAGGAAGAAAATCCACCTGCCTCTGGTCTGCCTTATTGCTGGGGAATAAGCCTGCATCCGTGATTCCCCCTTGGCTTTCCCATCTGTTCAGAAGGCGTATTGCACCCCTAATCATCTCTGAGCACAGGGGAAAGTGCTGCTGCATTGCTGGAGTGGCAGATAACCAGGATCTCAGTACGTGATGCTCAGAAAGGGAGAAAGGAGCTGACTTCGCTGTGGATATTCCCTCCTGCCTGGTGCTATCGAATGGAATGAATAATTTACTATCCGATCATCTCTAATCTTCATCCCATAAAATCAGCAGCAAGCTGGGAGGGTTTTTGAAGCCTCCAGCTGCATTTGCTGATAAGACATGAGGCAGGAAAGATTGGAAGCCCATAAAAATGATAATCTCAGGCTTCAGTGTAACTTAGTGGAGGGGTTTTCTCCTGTCCCTTCATTAAGGATGGATTTCCTTAAATAACAACAAGCCTTCTCACGAGGAATCTCCCACCCAAGAAACGATTGCATTGTCGTTAGGAAATAGGAGTCCAAGAAGCCAGACTAAAGTAGCTGGAGCACAGGTTAGTGCAAGGGCCAAGGCTTTGAAGGGCAAATGGTACTTACCTTTACGGGGTGGGAGGAAAAGAGGGAGGATTGGAAATGATTTCTGAACAAGGAGACAAGATTTAGGCACTGGGGCTTTGCCTCAGAGTCAGGCACCAGTGCCAGGTTAAGCTGCCTGCCACAAGCCTGACCATGAGCCTGGCTATGAGACAAGCCCCATCATCCTCATCCTACACCTCCTTGGTGTGAAGAGAAACATCATGTTTCACTCCAGTCTGGCTTGGTACAGCATCCTCCCCTTCAGGCCCGAATTCAGCAAGTCTGCCTATTGCCTGGGAGGAGAAGGGAAAGTTAAAAACCCAGCTCTTCAACCATATCCATGTGAATCTCAAACAGGACAGCCAAGAGAAGAAGCAGGAAAGAGTTAGCTGGCTTGTTGGGAGTGGACAGTTTCAGGAAATAATTATCCCAGATGCCAGAATAGAAGAAAATTGAAAGTGTAAACTATAATCAGATGTTAAGTTGCTTTTCTTCTGCTAATTGAAATAGTGTTTTCTCTGCTACCCACCACTCTACCCCTTTCAGATGCTAATCCCTATCAAACACGGACTTACAATTACAAATTCATAGGCATCTTTCCCAGGAGCAGAAATTGCTTTGCCCTGTAACCTCTAAGATGAGGTCTTAATAGGAATTCACGAGCAGTCGCTGGTAAAGCTTCATTAGCCAGAGAGAATAGACAAGGGCAAGTTGCAGTGCTCCCTAACCACTCTAGGGAAAAATTAATTTAAATTACTTTGTAAAGTAACAAGGCCAGATAATGTGTTTCCTTCTCGGATTATTGTTTTCTAACACTCTAATGTGCTCCTAGATTACTTTGCTCTGCTTGTGGTCTATGTTAAATTGTGGTTTATGAAGAGCAAAAGCCTATGGAAAGAGAAACACCGACCCCTTGGGCCAGAGGTGGATGAAGACAGGGTGAGGATTTGGCTGTTTCTTACTGGGTTGGGTTGCTCAGAGGCTGTTGGGGAGGCAAGAAGAGGCCACCTCCAGCACAACTTCAACACAGCCTAGAGGAGAAACCTGGAAATTGAAGGTGTTTCCCTGACTGAAAACTGATCCAAGCCAATGGAAGGAGTCCTGATGATTTGAGGCAGCTCCAGATTTGTTTCCTGGAGCAATGCTGAGTACTCTGTTCCCAAGGGCTGGACAGGCAAGGGAAACCTCTTCCAGAAGCCACCATCCTTGAGCAAAGGTACAAGCGTGAGGCTGATTCCCAACCAGCTAAAACCTAAAATGCACTAAAGCATACTAAAACCTAAGCCTGAACCACCAGGACGGGGAGCTGGGATTTCACACCCCGTCTCCAACCCTTACCGAGCCTCCCCAAAAGGAGCTATAATTCTCTTCCCCTGGCACCAGGCTGCATGCTCCTCATGCTGGGCTTACAATTCAGTGTGGTTTTACAGAGCTTTGCAGCGAGCCAAGCGAGGGGCCGCGGGAAGATGCAGTGATAAGGGCTTGGCAGAGGGGCTGAGACTGTTCCCAGCACCGTGGGCTTGCAGCCGGGCTTTGGTGGGTGCTGCCAGGGCCCAGAGTTATTAACCTGAGACTTGTCACACGGAATGGGCCAGCCTGGCTAAATCCTCAGGGGACGCGAGCATCATTCAACGAAGAGACAAAGAGTTCAAAGGGCCTTTCGGCAGCAAACAGCGCTGATCATCTCGGCTGATTAAATAGGTTCCCAACTGATCGGGGAGTCCTAGGAGACCAGACTGAAGCTGGGAAGATTTATGGGGAGCTACCTAAATTGGAGAGGGAAGATATTGATTCTATTCCTGGCTTCTGAAGGGGATAGCTGGGAGGATGGGGGGGTGGGGTCAGAGCAAAGATAGGGCTGGAGAGAAATGCATTGAGACAGAGGGGTAGGTGGTTAAGTAGAGGGGATGAATGGATGGACAGACTCCCAGCCTATCTAATAAGTTTCTTGTCCCTGCTTGCTTGTGGGAAGACAAAAACCCCATGGCACCCAGACCTCCCTTCTGTCATTCTCCGTGCAAAACTGCAGCATTTCAAAATGGGATTGTAACCCCCAAAGATGAGGGTGTATGTCACCCCAGCTCCTGCAGTCACTTGAATTTCTTTTATCCCCATCAGCATCCCATTGTCCTCCAAGTCCTGACAAATTCTGGACCGCCTTTGCTGGAGGCTGTGTTTCAACAGCTCCAAGCACAATTAAGTGCTCCCTAGAGTCCTGCTTGCCCTTGTGTCTTGCAACAGGCAGGACTCAGCCTCCTGGAGAGCAGAAGAGCATCAGAGAAGGCCATGCCCCATGAGAAGGACACCACTGCATGACCCTCTGGGTCCCCAATGGGTAGAGAAGAGCCTGACTGCAGTAGGAACCACCTGCTCAGCATCATCTGAAGAAGGTGTTTTCCTTCCTCCAGCCCCCACAGCCTTACTGGGTTAAAGGAAGGGCCCTGGGCAGAGCAAGGAGCACTCACAATATAGGAGATCAGCCTGAGCATCCTCGCACTGTGGGGTTCAACCTACCAGAATCATGCCAGTGGGCACCAGCCCTATTTATTTCCATGCTCATCAGCAAAAGCAGCACATTTTCAGGTCGCATCTCTCTTCCTTCTCAGCACCAGAGCTTTTGCCTGACATCCAAAGGGAAAAGAATAACGGGGCCATCAGCAGTGAGCAAAACGCATCTCATAACCTCCACTTCTTTTCAACGAGCTCCAGTTGTTGCTTTACAAGTGTACTCCAACCCCGGCAAGTGCCAAACAAAAGCTCCCCTCTCCTCCTCTGTGCCTTGTTAAACAGCCTTATTATTTCAGTGAGCTGCATCTGCTGGGTGGCAGCCGCGATTACCATAACACAGGGGCAGGATCTGGCCTGGATGCTTCACCCTCAATTCTGCAACAGGCGAGAGCATTGGGCTGGATTTAAAATGAAATGAAAAATAAAGGGGGAAGGGGGAGGGAAATTCAATGTATGAAGTCACTTTTCTGGCTGCCACCCAAGCAAACAGATGCAGGTAATAGAGGAGATGGGAAAAATCACGTCATCTTCTGCTCTGAGCAGTGGATTCTGTTGTTTGGGAAGGGGGTGGGAGGGACGTGAAAGGCCAGAGGGATTTCATGCGAGTCCAAAGGGTGAAAGGCATTTCTTGGGGCACATTAGAGTTGGGGAAGCTTTTTAGGAGCTTTAACCCATTCCTGAAGCCTTGGAGGCTGCTGGCCCTAGCAGGATGCTGCAGCAGCCAAGCAAGTGCTGTGAGATGAGGTGAGGGAGCCAGGGTTCCTGTGGGAGGGATGACATGGATAGGAAAGGGCTGAGCAACACTGAGCTGTGCCATTGTGCCACAGCAGCTGAGATCAGGCTGCCCTCAAATCCAGCCCTGAATAGGTTTTGAGGACAAAAGGTGAAGACCCCTGAGAGATGCATTTGCCTGGGACTGGGGAGAAGAGGCTGTTTCCAGGAGTGGCTATTAATCAAAACTCAGTAAATAGCAGTGCATCGGCACAGCCACCAGCATTCCCACCAGGAAGAGTGAGACTTCACAGAGTCACCTCACCCCTGCCGAGGTCCTGGGGGATTCAGCAGCCTGTGCTCCCCTGGCAGAGCAAACAGGGAGCCAGTGACCACAGACACAGAGCCCATTGCCTCCATGCACTGGGGAACAGGGATATATGGGGCAGCACTGAGATGTCCAGGGCCTGACTGAGCTGGGGGAGCACCAGCTGTCCTGAGCATTCTCTGTGCCTTCCCACCCACAAGTACCAAACTCTGCAGGAAAATAGCTGTGGTGTTCAAACAGAGAGATGTTAACATAATGATTAGGTCTATGGTGACTCCATGAAGACCTGGAGGGCTGATCAGTGTAGGGGGAAGAGTGGGAATGGAGTGGGAGAAAGGGAGAAAGGGTATGGGTATGAGGAAGGGAAGGGAAAAGGGAAGAGGGAAGAGGAAAAACAAAAAAGGGAAAAGAGAAAAGAAGGGGGGAAAGGCCAGCCTTTAACACACATCATTTGTGAAGCCCCAAGAACACACGGAACCCTCTTACCAAATCCCATTTCCTCACCCCACCTCGGGGCCGCACCCGTGGGGGCCGCGGTGCGCCCTCTGGCGGCCTCGGGGGGTACTGTGGCCGCGGTGGCAGCGCTGGGCCGAGGGGGGGGCAGCGGGCGGGGATCGGGCCCCGCCGGCTCCGGCTCCGCCTGCTCCGCGCCGGCAGGAAGCGCTGGTGCTGCGGTCGGCTTTGATCTGTCGCTTATCGGCGACAAGGGGCTCCCCCAGACCCGCTCAAAGCAGGCGCTGGCCCGGGGGCGGCTGCTTCGGGAGTGCCCGCGGCCGCTGGGGCCAGTGGTGGGGCTCGGGGTGGGGAGGACGCCGCGTGTGGGACCGTCCCGCCGGGAGCCCCGTTGGGCAGCGGCGCTGTGAACACATCGGTTGTGGGGTCCTGCGGGAGGCAGACCCAAGCGGCAAGGCAGTGTTGATGGTGGGGCAGCGTCACCTTTGGAGGGGACAACACTTGCTTCTGCTCACAGCACCCTTCTGCCGGCCCTGCCCCAGGGCTGCTGCTGGGGGTGGCTGTGGGAGCTTATCCCCAGCACCTGCACCCAGCCAGATAGAGCGGGGCAGCTGGAGGGTGGCCCCATGGAACAGGACAGGCAGCCCTCCCGCCCGATGCCTGCCGAGATAGGAGCAACGGCTGTCGCCTCTGGCACGCTGGGCAAGCTTCTGTCACCTTAGAAAACACCATAGGAAAAGCATCCGGGGTGGGCTGGTGTTCTCTGACATAGAAGAAGGGAAAAGGCAGCTCAAGAGTTTGCTAGGATAAGGCAGGGAGCAGCTGGGGAGTGATTCCTGCTGATGCAACCAAAAGCAAAACCGCCCTGGTGTTTTCTATGATGGGGACCACCTGCAGGCAGCATGCAAGGTGCTGGGGACGCGTATGTGTGAGCACATCATGGGCTTGGGTGGCTTGAAGACACACGCAGGACTGTGTGCTCACTTCCATCCAAATATGTGTGTTTAGGACTATGTCCTCAGAGGCACATCCATAGATGTGCCCACAGATCTGAGGTATACAAAAATGAGTTGTGAATGTGTTCATGCAGCGTCCCACATGTGGGAACGCATGGACCATGCATTTGTGAGCAAGCCAGTGTGCACATTTGACTGTCATGGGCATGGACAGGTATTTGTGGGGTGGGAGAATGTCTGTGACTCCTTGTGCACACATGCTTCCCGGTCACAACACCCGCAGTGACATGTTGCTAAGTGGCTCCAGCCACCCTCAGGCTACCCCCAGCTCCTGTTTCAACACCATTCCCAGGCATGGAGTAGGCCGGGTGCTCAGAGAAGTGATGCTGCATTGCTGGATGGTTGCAAGAAATACGACTGGACGGGTGTTGATGTGTTTTATTTCAGCTCCAGCAGCGTGTGAAGGGACGTGTCACTGGTGGAGTGCAAGTGAAGTGCTTTGGAGATGGGACAGCTGCTGTAAAGCAGCTCCTTGCTTGCATGCCCTCCCAGGCAGCATTTCTTGGGCAGTGGTTGAGACCCTTAAGACATGCAGGAGGACCTTGCCTCTGGATTTGGTGCCTGTGGGCAAGCCTTGGGGAGGTAGGATGCTATTCTTGCCCCAAGGGCTGTGCTGCGGACAGTGATGGTGATGGAAGCAATCCTAGTCCCTTCACTGAGGCATGGCCAGCAATACCTCTGCAGTCAAAGGGGCTGGTGTTCCCTGCCACAGACACAACGTGCACAGGGCATGTGCACAGCCACTCTAGGCTGTGATGCTTGGCATTGTTTTGGCCCCTTAAGCCTCGCTCAGGGTCCCACATGAGGAAGAACCACTTACAGCACCTCACACAAAGACCTGCCACCTCCTGCTGTCAATCTGCTCCCTTCACCTGATGCAACCCAGGATGCTTTGCCAGGGCTTTCCCGGACGCCCCTGGGCAAGTCCCCAAACCTCTCCCAGCTCAGTCAGCAAGTCACCTCCTCCCCTTGTTTCCAGCAACCCTTTAGCAACACAATGCCAGCAGCAGCCTGCCTTTCACTTTGCAGGGTGCGCACACCGAGGAACACGATACCACTGTGGCTTTGCTGGCCTCTGCCAACAGCCCTTTGCTGCAGGACCCATCCCCACTTTGGCACAGCAGGGTTAAGCTGGTGCCATGCAGGATTTACTGGAGGGATGGGCAAGGAGCGAAGCCCTTGGCCCCACCACGTGCTGCTGACCGGGCTCAGCCCCTGCACATCAAAGTGGTTTAGCCGTGATCCAGACGCTCCCTCCCATTTCCTGCTGGATTCCCGTCTCGCTCCCTGTGCCCGCATCAGCAAAACAGAGTGTAAAAATAGAGGCTGGGCTTCACCAAAACACAATAGTAAATTGTTCCCCGGAAAGGTCACCGGGGCGGCCGAGAATAGCTCCGAGAGCAGGGGAAAAGGAACGTCTACCGGGGGGATGAGTTTGAAAGTGCCTGCTGGACCCCCCACGGGAGGTTTCCTGCATCCCCATCAGTGGTGCAGGTCCCCACTCCTTAGACCCCAAGGTCTTGGAGCATCCTTATCTTGTGCCGCCCAGCCCCACTGAGTAATCCCCGCTCCCCCAGCACCAATTTTTGGATGGATACTGAAATAAAAGAACGGGGAGGAAGAAAAAAGGCAAAAGGAGAGGCAGGAGGACCAGAGAGGAAGAAAAGGGCTAGGAGGAGAAAGGGATCCTGCTCGCTGCTCATCTCCTGACTGTGTGTGACAGCGCAGTGTCCCCTGGGCACCGCTGCCTGGCTGCAGCCTTTGTGCGGTGGTGGGAATGTGAGGGATGAGCCTGGGGATGAGGAGCATATCGAGCAGTCCCAGAGAGCCGTAAATTACTCCCTCCTGTTGTCATCGGCCTGTAATAGCGAAGAGGCAAAGCTTTCTCATTGCCTGAAGGGTGGGAATGTTTGGGTCCTGTCATTTCTGTGAGCGTATTTAATTCAGTTATGTGGGAATGCCCTTAATGATGCAGGTCCTTGCTCTTGGCTTCAGCGGTGTTCCCAGGCAGGGGTGCCAGTGCAGGCTGCCCTCAGCATGGCTTTGCCAGAAAGGTTGTAATTAAACCCAGATAATGAGGCTTGAAAATAAAAGCTGTCCAAATTTGGGGTGCTTGGGGTTTTTTTGTGTTTCTCATTTCATTGTCTCATGCATTTGTGTGCCTCCCACCTTCTCTAGTTCATTTTTATTTTAATCAATTTTATCTCAATGCCACTTCCCCTCTGTTCTCAGTCCCCAGTGATATCCATGCAACGGTCAGGGGAATTTTCTGCCACCAGGAGCCTGAATGTCACCAGGTTCTTGGGACACATTAGAAGTGTGGATGAACAACATATCCTTAAGGGCACCTGCTTCAAGGGCTGTTTACCAGACAAATTGCTGCAGAAGGCTTGTGGTGCCACCAGTGAGAAATGAACCCCAGCCCTGTCCCAGCCTAGAGCAATGCCAACTACGACACCCAGGCTATTGCCCTTCTTTAGTGGATACTAGGACCTAAAGTGCTTTTACCAACTTTCTTCTCTGTTTTGCATAAACAACATAAAATCCAGGCTGGGCTGTTTTTTTTTCCCTGTATATTTGAACCCACAGAGCAGTGCTCATCACCTCGCAATACAACACAGCTGTAAAATAGTAATATCATTTGATGGGAAATGAATGAGAGATTCCGCCAGAAGACAAGAGTGAGAAGGGCTTTCAAAAACTACTTTAGAAGAAGAAAAAGAAAGGCAGATGATGTCTGCTACCTTCTGTGACATTTG